GAAGAAATTGGACGACTGTTAAATTTTTTTCTTGGTCAATCAAAGCTTGCAATCTATTTGAGTAGGAAATTTAAAATTAATAATGAACAAAATACTGATTGTGCAAAACTCTTTAAGAGTATGGTCAGAGCAAGAGTGATGTTAGAGTATAAATATTATTTAAATGTGGATGAACTAAATGTTTTTAAAAATATTTGGGATTATGAAGGTGTTTTATTTACTTTAAATAATTCCGAATTATCATTTATGAATGTGTTAATTTGAAATTGTGGTGAATGTTTATGTTATGTGTATCATCACTGAGTGAATAATGAGTTTTTAAAAATCAAAATCAATCTTATTCAGTGTAATTTTCTAGTTCTATAGATTTAGTTCAAGTATTTTATTCATACTTTCATTATTTTTCATCTTATTATGCATGCTTATGTATTTGTATTCGTTACTGATTTTTTTTTTAAATAAAAAAAAAATAAAAAAATTACCAAGTTTTATAACTATTTGACTAGCATTAAAGAAAAAATCTTTATACATGTATTATCGGTTAACATTTAATTGTAATTTCTAGAAAATAAATGTATTGTTTATGACTTCTCACTATTCAAGAAAAAAAAAAATCCTTTGTACCACGATCTTGTTTTCTCATTATTTAAGAACCGGTTGCTAAAGCGGGTGACAGGATGGCGGAGAAAAGGTTAATGAAGAAGGTGTATTACACTCCGTCACATCCCGGTAGTTTAGGAGGAATCGAAAGATTGAAAAGAGCTTTGGAGGATGAAACGGGGGAGAAGGTTAAGACGGAAAAAGTCCAAGATTTTTTTATCTGAAGAAGACGCGTACACTCTTCACAAGCCTGCACGCATTCATTTCCCAAGTACAAAGTGATGCAATGGTTTTAACAGTAAATTGATTCCTTTGTGTATGATTTAAGTTATTGATATTATTTCAAAGTGATTTCAGCAGTTTACGAGAGTTATGATTCATTGCCAGGCAGTTGTAAGTGCTGCTGCTTGGAGGCCCTGAATTGCACAAAGTCTCTGAAGTCGAACCGGGATCCGTCGCTCCAGAGCCACAGGCGGTCCTACAAGGACGGAGCACAAGGAGAGAGAAGAAGTAAAGGCTGAATGTTTGAAATCTATAAATAATCTGTTGGGTTTAAAATAACAATAATTCCTTCAATTAGCAACTTTGTTCATTAATTTATTATCTAATGAATTTCTGGTAATTTCATCTAAAATGGGCAAAAAATTTAAATAATTTTTCTGAAGTCTCACAAATTCTGCAGAACAATAATTGCAATGAGCATCAGAACCTGATCCAAATCAATCTGTACGTCCTGGCCTGGCTGTAGCTGTAGCTTCTCAGCCAATCATATTCACTGTTGGTTGGTGCAGTTGCCAGGTTTCCACCTTGTGATGTACAGAAGCTCTAGAGAGGAGAAACAGAGAAGAAGAAAAACACACAGAAACATAAAAATATGAATACATTATATAAAAAAACAGAAGTAAAAGATGGTTTGCTCATTTGAACAGCTTGTTACCTCAGCCTGAGCCCAGCCTCCACTCCACCATCTCAGCTCCAGCCTCTCCATCATCTCCAGCACCAACTCCAACCGCCAGGTGTGTTGAAGTAGAAACGCATCTTAAAGTGACAGGACACCGGCCCTCGAGGCCTGGAGCTGCCCACCCAGAGACTCTACTGCATCAGGGAAAAACAAGGTTTTACAAACACTCAAAATTAAAAGGACTAAAACAAAGAGTTACTTGTAACTCCAGCAAATAAACAAGTTAATCTGAATTAAATTCAAAAGGACAATTTCAAGGCGTTAAAATGGAAGTAAGATTTTGTTTGTCATATTTGATATATAGTATTTTGATAACTGAAGGTAACATAGGTATTTAATTATCCTATAGAATGGAGCACACATATTCCTACCCCTTTAAAATGCAGCTTGAAATAGAAAACAATTTACAATAGTGCAGCACAAAGTGCTTTACAAACCAAAATCCAACTAAAACACAAAAGGATGCAACCAGAATATAAAAAACCATAAAAGCGTTGAGTGTTTGCTGGCTGCAGTAATGTGGCAGCACTGCCCCCTGCTGGGGGAAACTCAGACATTTAACACACGTCTCACTCCTCACCTCACAGTCCAGGTACTGGAGTCAAGTTTATTTGTACAGCACATTTCAGAAGCAAGGCAGTTCAAAGGGCTTTGCAAAAGAAAACCAGGTGAGTGAATGTAGTGTGAAGTGTTTCAGTTTTCTCTGGATTTGAGAAAGTCTGATACAAATACAGGATATTCCCCATTTATTGCTGCTTCTGGAGATTAATCATTTGCTTTGTTAGAGTCTGATGTGTGCTCAGATTCATGTCTGCAAATAAATCTGATAAGGTCTGTTGAGTTAAGTCAACATCTGCAGTGCCTGTTGGCACAACAATGAAATCTGTCTCTGTATTATGTGAAACTCCTAACTTCTAATCTGCAAGTCAAATAACCTCACAAGTTCAGATTTTAGACTCAACTGTGAAATGAAGAAACAATTTTGAAAACTTGTCAAGAAGTTAAAGAAGGATAAGAAGTTTGCAGCGTAAAGTCAACATGGCGTCGAGGTGGCGGGCGTTTGGATTTTGGTTCATCAACATCAAACTTCAGCTGAACATTTTCCTCCTTCTCTCAATTCTCACTCACTGAAAATAAAAATAAAACACAGACAGAATTTTAAACAAATGTCTGGTGAAGGACATTTAATAAATGTCACCAATTTCTATTGTTTCTCTAACTTTGTGTGTCTGGTAGCTTTGGAGTTTTCAGCCTGTTTGAATACAGAACAGCAGAGAAGTGACTTAATCTCACTATAAACATCAAGGTTTCGTAAAAAGCATTTAATTGTGTCGGTTTGTTAAATCTATGCCCTTGATTTTATTTATCTTACTGAAAACTAGAGTCAATTCTGAATGACCACAAACACAGGTTGATGGTTCGAATGCAATGTTTCTGCTAACTCACGACAGAAGGAAGCTGCGACTTGAGATCATGAATTTGTGTTCTTGCTTGCTTGAGGCCCAGATGTTGCAGCACTGACATGTGGCGCAGTCAGATTGAGTGGGCCGATGTTTGAACCCGCAGTGTAAAGGTGTGGCTCCTTACTGAATCAAAAATGCACAACATTCAACCAAGGGTGAAAATCCCATCTCATTATTGGGGATCAAAAATAGGAAAAATCTCCTAAGACCAATTTTATGGGGGTCAGCAGAGTTACAGTGAAATGTAATAAAATGTTTAAAACGTTTTTAAACCCCATTCAAGCTGCAGGAGCAAAAATAACTAGAAATGCAAATCAAACATGTTTTTCTCAGTAAGATTCCTGTTGAGAAGTAAAATTAAATTCAAATGTTGCTTGGATACGAGTTTTGTTCAGTCTCACTGATCTAATCTCTGCTACAAAAAGTTAAAGTTCTAAATAAAAGAAAAGCAGCTAATCAGCAACTGCTCTTAATAAAATTCCTCATAAACATATTGTAATGGCTCCCAATGCAAGCCACGGGATATTTAAATTATAACTTAAGTTGCTTATTTTAAAGCCTTTTTTAGTTTCGTCATGTCCTGGATGATGGAGAACCAACAGGCAGATAGAAATTAATATCTGAGGAGTATTTATAACTTAAATGGGACATTTAAATCTCCTGGGATTTACAGCTATAGTTAAATCAAGACTAAATCAAGACGCCTGTTCATTGTTGTATTTGAACCATAATAACTGGAACATGGACCAACATATTTGATGTTCATTGATGATTTGATGTTACTAATTTTCAAAAATGTTAATGCATTTGTGATGGTTTTGTTGACCAGTTTAACTCCACAAAACCTTGCAGCCAGTGGGAGAGAAACATCACATCATTCTGACTGCAACATGTTTATTCACCAAGAGCAGCTTTAAAAGAAAATACAATAAATTCAGCTGTGATTCTGAATGATTTGACATTCAAGATGTTATTCAGAAAAAAGACAAAACATTTTGATAAAAGTATAATATTAAGACCAAACAGACAGTTATTTTTTATGAGTTAATAGTTTTTTTCTCCACTTTTCTGACATATCTTCCATGTTGTAACTCAGAGAAAAGTCTGATCTCTTTTTATATCTCCTTTTCTCCTGTCATTGTTTGGCAACTTCTATAACATCCGACACACAGGATATTTTTGTTGTTGCATATGATGCCACAAGTTTTAGTCTATATTTAATATAGAAATATCATTCTGTTTAGTTCCTTTTTGTTTTATTTTTGGAAGAGGGATTAGACATTTTATGTAAAAAATGTGTTTCTTGATATGGGTTAAAGGTGAACAAAGAGAACATGTGGAAAAAAAGTTTTTCTTTCCCATCACACCACAATCATTCTGTATTGTTGTCAGATATTTGGACACATTTAAGCTACATAATCCAGTCATTTCTCCTCTTTATCACATCAGTGGAGTCAGCCTGAAGCCACTGCAGCAAACATTTATACACCACATGCTTTTGTAATTGTTCTTAATGACGGTCAGTTTATTTGAACCAGAGAAAAAAATAAAATGTTAAAATTATACTAATAAGTTTCCTGCTCTCTTGATCAGGAAGTGGTTAAAACTACAAACATCGGTCCCGGAGGACAACTACATGTGATCAATGTATTGACTTTATTTAAACTAATTACAAGAAAAATAGTTGGGTACAACAAAGTATTTTAAGAAGCTCATTAATTAAACTCATTTTATTTGTCTAACATCAGATATACTTTTTTCTCTGGGAGTGACATAAACAGATCATTAAATAGATATAGAGGTTGACATTGACACAGCTGAGCGTAAAATTTAGAATTATGGAAGATCTAGTTTTTTTCAGTTAATTGCATTTAACCAAAAGATTTGGTTCTAAAAAATGTTTCCATTTGGCCCAATTTCTGTTTTAAAACTGGCTTATTTTAATTTTTACATATAAAAAAATACAGACACACAAATATTGCTGCTGGCATTTTATTTATTATCAGAGATAAATTGGTTACAGGTAGCAAACTCTCACCAATGATTTAAAGAACAATCAACTGGATTATATTGATTAGTAATCAAGTGAACTTTTGACTCATGTTTGAAGCTAAAAGTTGATGGTTGATTATAAGAAAAAAGCAATTCATTATTTTTTGCTGGATGTTTAACCTGCAGATTTACTGGGCAGGACGGATCTTCATGCTGATGCTCTTCAGGGAGTAATTAACTCCCTTCCATGTACCCCATTCCACTCCAATAGCATAGAGTGTGTCATCAGCCCCCCAGCGATAAACCCCATTGGGTTTTGTACCATGACAAGCATAGTACCAGAAAGCACCGAGATGAATTTTGGCACAGTTGCCGCCCGACTCGTCCTGGTCTTTGTCAAAGGTGGAAAATTTCATTCCATTGTGACGGACAAGGCTGTCTCCTGCAGAAATAATAATAGGATACAAAAACTATATGAATAAAACAGACATTGTGTTGAAAGCTTCAATATTGAAAAAAACAAAATAAAATTGTAATTTCAATATGAAAAAAATACAGGCTTTGGGTTAGGGATTTATTTCACAATGTTTTGTGACATAAATCACAAACATTGCGAGTTAATCTCTTACTGGGATATTATCAATGAGATCAATTAAATTTACTTTGCTCAGGTTTTGTGCTGTTAACTACCAACATCAATCTTCCTGCTTCAGAACCTTCAGAACAAACTCTGGATTTAGATATTATTGACACAACACATTTAATTCCATCAAGGCGTTTTTCTCTTAATCTGAATGGTCTAGCTACAGTAAATTATTTATTATTATTATTATGGTTATTATACATCTGCACTAACACAGGAGTTCCTCAGGGATCCATACTCAATGCCTTGATTACTTTCCAGATCCAGCACAAGTCTAATTATTTCATTTGCCAAGGGATAAACAGTGATGGGCATCATCCATCCATCCTGTCTAGTAAAGTTAGAATGTGTTTTTTCTCATGACTCACCAGCGCCCCCTTTGTTGTTGAAACCGCTTACATGCAGAAGGTAACCCTCACACTCAGCATCGACTTTAAATGAAGAGTAAAGAGCAAACGTTTTGTTTCCTTCAAAGTCCTCCATGTCGACCATCAGTTCATAATTCTGACTCCGTGTCAATTCATGGATGTTATCAAGACCTGCACAGACATGGAAACTATTAAATTTAGATTTTGCATTAAACACCTGGTTAATCTGGGTTTGCAGGAACTGAGTTATAACTATGTTATAAGTAAATAAATAAACCAACCATACATTGACTAACTGTTTAGGTCGGTGTCACCCAGCCAGTACTCTCCAGCAGCGTTTCCAAAGCCTCTCTTGTACTCCGCCCAGGGTCTGTAGAAGTTTACAGAGCCATCCATCCTCCTCTGGAAAACCTGGAACAACAAAGGAATCTGATCAAGAAGTGAACAACGTTCTGACTGACACACTCAGGGTGAAAAGGAAGTGGGTTGTACCAACTCTGAATTGGTATCAATAATCAATATTTAAACATGACAAAACTGATCAAATCTTATCTCAGGCAGGTGAAAATGGAAGGACAATAAAGACTCTTCTTTCAACAGAACTTGATGTTTGTTGGATGAAATCCCCCAAGAATCCTGAGATGAACCAAGTTGAAGTGTAAACAGAGAGAGTTCATGTAGAGATGGACTCACCGTCCAGCGTCCTCCCTCTGAGTCCATGTCGCAGTAAGCCTTCACACAAACACATTCATGACTTGATGCAGTTTTTATTATGTAATGCAATGTCACACTTTATATGGAAAAATAAATACTATCAAGAAAGTTCAGTTTCAAATAGTCAGTTTATGTAATGTGTATGAAGATTAAGTAATAACATCCTCAGCATTGTTAACAGATAAACCTCCAGTCTTGGTCCTGCACAGAACTTTAATCTGGATCTTCATTTTTATGAACAAACCAAACATAAAGTTCACCTGAATAGCAGATGTAGATCCACTTGGATAGATGATGTAAACTCCACTGGGAAGTTTCTTGTTCGTATTGTAGATGTCATTGCAATCACGTGGCAGTTGGTCTCAGCCGCTTCACAGCTGATCAGCAGTGGAGCCAGGAGGAAGAGAAGTGATAACAGCTGGAAGACAGAACATGACACCTTCTGAACATCATCAGAGAAACTCTGATTAACGTTCATTTAGTCAGATTAAACCTGATCCCTGATCTTGTCCTGCATGTGGCCTGTAAGCTGTGCTGCCAGATTTTAAGTCAGAATTATGCTGAATTCTGCCTTAACAAAGGTTTCTGGTTGGTTTGATCCTCCATTTTTTAACAACTCATTTCATCAGTCCTGTTAACAAATGTTATTTCCAGAGCCAAAACTATGTACAGTGTTTACATGCATTGAGTGTTTGGATAAATTTAAACACTCAAATTCACTCAACATTTCAGTGACTGAACAAAATATCAAACATTTTAAATAATTAACAAACTCACTAGAAGTTGTTTAATTTTTACATTTTTTGACTACATAGTTAAATATCTTGTTGTTGTTTGTGTTCATATTCTAATCATTATTGATGTTTCATAATTTGTACATTTTATGTACAATGTCTCTGTGCTGGTTTTTATTTTGGTCATTTGTTGTTAACAAGATTTTAAACATTAAAAATACCTTTCCTTGTTAAAAAATAAAGATAGATAAATTATTTTTTATTTTTTTACAGTGCAAGTTACAGGCTTACCTTCATCTTTACTGTTGATCTGGATAAATTGATCAAACTTGATGAAAATCTGGAGTTTGACTTGCAGCACAATGAAATTCCCTGTTAATGTAAAACATAGAGAAACTTTAGTGGACAAACTCAGTTGTAAATGAATTCATGTGTTCATCTCACCTGCAGCTGGAATGAACTTGATTCCAAACTTCTGCTTCTCCTCTGTGTCTCCGACGTTCAGACTCCGTTATTATATACCTGCTGATGTGTCACCTCACCTTGATGATCAGGAATCTAAATCAAACATCACCTGATGAAAAACATGAGCTTGGTTTCTTCATTTTACAGAGCAAATACTCGATCCAGGATCTGGACTAAGGTGTGGATGAAATAGAACTAGTGAACTCAAAGAAGATGTGAGCAAACAATATTTATGCCTGGTTTCTAAAATTGTTGTATCTTTTCTAATAGACATATTTACTCAGTGTTTTCATCAGGCCATTTAGTCAATACATCTGTATCCTGGAAGAAACCTGACCCAACATGCCACACACAAGCAAAACATTGGCCAGCATCCTGTTGGTATTGGATTAGAATTGATCATATTGATCATATCTAATGTATTTCATATCGATTAGATCCACATTCAGCCGATCAAACATCTTGCTGTTGCATGTCATTATGTCTGACTTCGTCATGCTGCTTCGCGCTGATGAACGCAGGCCTGAGAACAGTGTTTCTTCTTCTTTAGGTTTTAACGGCAGCTTGCATCCATTTATTGTTGCACTACTGCCATCTATTGGATCCCAATATCTATCTCTTAAATTCTCAAAATAATCCCAATGTTAGAACAGGTGTTTATTGAGGGATCGGCTTTTTCACAGTCACATGGCAGCAGCTGGACATCAGGGTGATGATGATCAGGTGTGACTTGTCAAAGCTCAGCAGCAGCTGTGACGACTCTCATGCAAACTAGTTATCTTAAACAACACAGGTAAATGTCTGCAGGACAGAGAAACATTTCCCTGCAGCCAGAAGAAAGAAACTTGATTTGTTTTCAGGCAAACGCTGAACTAAGCCGACTATCATGAAACCTTCAGGTAAGATTGTTATTTTGGTTGTTCAAAGGTAAGAAAAATAAATTTACACAATTTTGCCTAGAAAGTTCATTCGCTCTAATTTAACAGGAAATTTTTATTGACTCTCTTTAACACAGATAAAAAAAAAAACTATCAGTGATAATTTAGAGAGTATTCCAAGTTATAATTTTTTATTACAATAAAATATTAAATCTATTTCTATGAAAGACACTGGCTCATGAAGAAAACAAATCAAATGAGTGTTGCATAACATTATCAAGGTTTAAAGTTACTGTGAAACATTTTAAGGCCAATTAATTCAGGAGACATTTTGATGCAAAATCTAAGTTGTACAACTTGTAGTCAGACTCCATAGATTAGGAATTTTATTATATCTGATATATTTAAAACAAGGCAAATAAACATTGCTTTTACAAGCACTGCTTGTTTGAAACAGAATTAACAAAGTAAAGCTGTTTTTATGTCTGTTTGGAGCAACATAAATTCATATTGTAGTATCAGGAGCTTTCAGGAAGAGAATAACACCAACAAAAGGATTTATGATTTAAATCTCAGGTTAATTTTTTTTCTCAGACATATTTCAACAGGATGTTCATCATAATTTATTACCTGTTGCAATTTACCTGGTTATCGATCGTTCTGGCAGCAGCTATGCACATTTAGTTTCAGTTTCGTCAAGCCAAACTTTCACAGGCCTTTTAGGATCAGCATGAGGCAAAGTTTAGATGAGCCTCTGCTGCACCACCTGGGTATAATAATTAGGTCATTAAGACGCTGGAGATCTGATCCACACAAGGAGGTAATTCAGACAATTCATTCCAGTGTTTATCTAAAAACTGGAGGTCTGGAGTTTGACACCCCTGGCATGTATAGTATGTCTAAAAAGTGAGACGGGACATTTAAAAAAGTAAAACCAAATACTTTTTATATTCATCAGGAACCTGAAAAAAAAGTCAAAGTATCAGACAGAAGAATAATTTTGCTTGTAATGTTGAGTTTTGTCAGAGTTGACAGAAATTGCTCTCTAGTGAAAGGACTCATTATCAACCTTCCTCCAATCAACTCAATCAGTTTAAATTCAACCTTCCAACTTAAGGAAGTGAATGTAAAGTTTGGAAAAAGGAACTAAAACTCATCTCTGTAATTTTGCTGATTGAAATAATTCTGATCATCCTATCAGAAAAAGGGTTGTACTGATTTGAGATATTGTGAAAAAGGGAAAGGAACTTTCACAACGTAATTAGTTTTTGTCACACTTTTGGATTCAGATATTTTCTGGCCTCACCTTTATAATATGTAGATGTCAGAATATTGTTTCTTCCTTGACCAATTCTAAGTTGTGTATATAAGATAATCCAATATCTGGTAAATAATCTCCTGGTTTTGTTTCTTCACAGCTTCTGAAATGGAATTCTGGATCCACATCATTGTGCTGGTGACGGTTCTCACTTTCTCATTCTTGGGCATGTTTCATTTTGCGGGTCTTGCTTTATCAAATCCACAGATTTGCAAGACATGAAACCAGCACTGGTACGGTTCGATGTTCCTGTTTCACCCCAGTAACACTGAAAATGATGCTTCCTGTTCGACAAAAGGTCGAATTAAAACCAGGAGAATGAAAAATGAAAGTTTAATTGTGCAGCCGGGAGGTCTCGGGCTTTGAGGCAAAAAGTGTGAATCAGATTAAGTACTGGACTATTAGTAATATAGTAGGAATATAGTAGGAATATTAGTCTTGTTTAGCCTTTCAGCCCAATCCTGACTAAACCTTTGACATTTAAATATTCCTGTGAAGCGGTGAGCTTAAGTCCACCAGACTGTAACTATTATTGGGAGTTTTTTTTTTCTTTTTTTTCTGAGCACCAGAATCAAATGTCTTAATTCCCTCATCAGCAGTCGGTCACTCAGACCTGGAATAAGCCTTTAGTGTGAACTAAAGTGTTGGAGCAGAGAGGCGGGAAATGGACATGGGCTCCCCAACAGGAAGTCAGGAGTTTCTGCAGAGACACAATCGAACCATTGTTTGTCTAGTTTCTACTGAAAATATCTTATTACACTTCAAATAAGATATTTAGTAACTTTTCAGCTAGTTGATTGCATAATTCTGCTAGTTGAACTGGAAGTTTTACAATTTTCCCCGTTATAAGTGAAATGTGTAACTTGTTTCTTCTGATTTGTTCACAGCCGTCTTTTCCTTCCACTTATTATTTTGCATCCCGCCTTTGATGGGTTTCCTTATATTCCTGTTCCACACTTTCAAGTACATGATTGAATCATCTAGTCAGGCATATATTCAGTAAGTCAAACGCCTTCTCGTCGTTGTCTGTGTTCAGTGAGATGATTTTAAAGGCTGTCTCACAGCTTCGTTTTGTTGGCACACAGATGGATGAAAGTGGTGATGGAGAATCGGAGGGATAAAGAGCCTCAACCCTTGGCTTTCTGAAGCTGCTGCCTGCAACTTCAATTCATCTGGCATGAAAAAAGCTGTTCTATTAGATAGCATGTGATGAATGTACTTTAACTTTTAGGCTTGAATTTTCTCTGGAAATGATGAGGGTTGATTCTCATTCTCTGTACACATTTATGAATTAAAAGTAAAAAAATAAACTTTTTCTTAAATTCTTCATTCTAAGTAATTTAGTTTCTTAAACCACTGAGGCAAAAGGGAAACAATTCCTGTGCAATTCTTTTACATCTCTTTCCTACTACATAGTTTTGCTTAAGATGGCAGAACTTCCAGATTTAAATCATGACCTGCTATGTTTTGACCTCCTGGGGGAAAATTGTGCCATCTGGTGGTCAAACAGAAACGCTGAAAGCTAAAACAAGTTCTTGTATTTTTTATCATTTTTTATTTTTTTTTTTTTTTTTTACTTGAACCAGCACCTGTTACATTATGGGAAACTGGCAATAACAAGAGGAAATGTTGATGAAATAAACAGAGTAACTGGGAAACGACAGAGGGAAAAAAGCCCAAACAATGAATGGAAAAAGAAAAGCTTCAAACTGTCTTGCAAAGCCAAATGAGAGGGAAAAAACTGTTATGATTTATGTTGGGAGTTAATTAGGCAGAGGATCTAGTATAGCTTGTATTTAGAAGACATGTTGGATATAAATCAGGTGTTGAATTTAATGTATTTTACTATTTAATTTGTAAATATTTAGTTCCATGTAAATTTCCACATAGGAAATTTGGATTACTTTTGATGACTATAAAGAAATAGTCAAATGGCAGGTTTGTTTTTTCTTCCATTCAGCAGCAGCTTCATGCATGGGGTGGGAGACAGTCCTTCTGTCTGCCACCTGTACTGGGTCAAAGATCATTGTAGGACAGAGCTGAACATAAATCCCATGATGCCACAGAGTTGATCTGCATCAACACCGCAGTTGAAACTGATGCCGTCTGGACCTGCAGCTTTTTGCACCTTGAACTTTCACAGCTTGTTCTTCACATGAAAACACTAAAACCATTGTCAGAGTTCACCTCCTTCTCTCTGCCAACACCGAGACGCCAACGCCTGTTTTTACCATTTAGATACAAACTGTGCATATTTTACTGGTTTCTATAAAAACTGTCCAGCATTCAGCTGCTGCAAAACTCTAAAAACGGCTGCAAGGATCTAGATTACGGTTTTTAGTTTCGCACAGTGCATTGAGTTGCTTGCCACTGTTGAATGACGTCCTGCAACCCCGGTCCAACACGCTTCAATAAAAGCCCTGAATCACCTCCTTGATGTTTTTCTGTTTCTGGACAACACTGAGACTCTGATGCATGTTTTTTTTGTTTTGTTTATTTGCCATTTAAACTACTTCTGGGCTGGTTTCATTCAGCTTGTACAGAACTCAACTGCTCATGTGTCGACCACGATGAGGGTGCAGGATATTAAAGGGATCCACAATTAGATGTAACAATTCACTTTATTCATGAAATATGTATTTTAGATGTAAGTACAATACAGTAAGAGTACTGCAGGGTATTTTAAAAATTTTCAATAAAATATTGTCATACGAGTTACAAGTTTGTTCACACCACAATGCATTCTGGGTAATTGACATCTAATGGTCCAGCAGCCAAAACAGAGAAGAGTAATGTTATTGAGCCTTTTCAATTGAACCTTTGAAATCGATCTGTCAGTAGAAGATCAACGGTCGATGTCCCCGAGAGTGGAGAAGATGATTTCCACTGTGCATATCAATGCTTATTAGGGTGAAAGTGGTTCATCTATTCAAATAGTAGTTCCAAGCAACTAGAAGAGGTTGTTTGAAGGTGAAGCCTCAATATTTCCTCTAATCTACGTTTCAAACTGGGGAAGTGAAGACTACGCGTTGTGCTTCTGGCAGAAGGCCAGCAGATGGGGCTGGTATTTGTGGGATGCCATTTCATGTAGAAATGATTTACATATGTAAACTAAATTAAAATGTTATGATCAAAGGTTTGGCTTTCCATTACACTTTTGTCTTTTAGAAGCTAAACTTGGACTTTGGTGTTGCTAAAATCTTTTTTGTTTTTTTATTTCTGCAGCTCAGCAATAACAGCCTTCAACAAAGATGCAATCAGACACAAGAGTGGCAACTAGTACCAGCATGAGCTGTGCTTCAGATGTGAATGATGAGTTGGAGCAAAGTCAGAACATTTACCAGTAAAATGAGACTGACAAAGGTCAACGAAGGTCGCGACAGGATTCTGCTTTCAACTAGAATGAACCAACAAACCTGCGGAGTTTCTCCAAATCATTCCCAGAGCCCCACCAGACATCTTCAGACGTTACCACAGACACCCCAAACTTCCAAAACAATATATTTAAGAACTGTCAGTTTTCCTTCTCAAACTGGGTTAAAAATGTGAGAGTCAAAGGTCAAGATGCAACCAGCAAATCCCAAAGTGAACATCAGAATAAAAACTGATGGCTTCAGTTTCTTCAACCAGCTGCAGAAAATAACAAGAGTTTCCTTAACGACTGACTTCAACACCCAGAAGAGCGGCCTGGTCAACTTTCCACTCTAACAACTCTTACAATCTTTGGCAGATTTCCCAAAAGACATGATATCAATCAACAAGCTCAATAAAATGCCACCATTTTTGGTTTTGGGAATCTGCCTGGCAGATGTAGTTTGAGGTGATACACATTCATCTTTCCATTTTCAGGCAACAGAGGCTAAACTAAGATGATATATGAACATGACATTTGCATGTTAATACTATTGAAAGCATGAAAGAATATATTAGTGAAATTCAAACTGTAGTTTTGCAAAGCACTAATGAACGATATGAATATTCATGTTTAGATGCCTCCTAGTCTAGACCTTAGTAAGGACGACTCAGCGATTTGTGAAACCCTGAGAAGGTGAAGCAACACAAAATGACAGTTTTAATTTATATTCTGATTTTATCTTAGGCATGTTTCTTCACCCAGCACTCAATTGTATGTTAAGTCAATAAGTCACTCTAAAACATGTGTCAAACTCAAGGCCCGGGGGCCAAATCCAGCCCGCATAGCTTTTTATGTGGCCCTCCACAGTCTAGACTAAACACTAAGAGTGATTAAATATTATATTATCATTCATATCAATACAGTTTTTATCTGTTTACTGCCAATATATATCAATCAATCCCTCCAGTTTCTTGAGAATTTAGTTGATGTATGATCATAGTCCATGATTTATACAGCGACTAAATAAATAGTCGCATTTAGGGACTGAAAAGATCTTCAATAATATTATGTCATTTTAAGAATTCATTGACATATTATCAGTTTGTGAACAGGTTTTATCAACACATTCTGGCACAACCGGCCCTTTAAGAACCTTCATGATCTTGATTTGGCCCAAAACAAAAATGAGTTTGACACTTTAGACTCTAAACTGTCCCTAAGTGTCTATGAGTCTGAATGATTTTATGTCCTGTGTTGTCCTGTGATGGACTGGTTCCCTGTCCCCAATACTCACTGGAGAGACACCAGTGTGGAGAATAATCATTTCATCATTTCTCCTGGCTAAATTACAGACTTTGACCTTTGGAAAATGTTCATAGAAATAAAAACTACCAATAAATGGTTAAAAACCAGCAGTGTTAAAGTACAGGCCTTAGTCGCTACTCTTTCAGTTAATATTCATGCAACCTTCTTGCTGCAACTGTCACATCCATGACAAGCACAAATTTGAGGTTTGGTTTTGGTCAATGGTGATGAAGCAAGGTGTGAACTAGATCTGGTTATGTCGTGCAATTCTGTGGACTTTTTATCAGAATCATTTCCTCATGTTGTGTCAAGATTAGAAGCTCTATAAATATCCAGTGATTCTGCAGTGAAGGCTGCAGGAGCTGCCTGGCTAAGAACACGGATCACTCTTCATCAGGTTCGCTGAACAAATTTCTGCTCATCTTTTTTACCAACATGTTTGGATTTTATTAACACGTATGCTTTATTTCAGTTTGCCTTCAGCTTGCCCCATCACTTCATCTCCATCATGAAGTTGTCGGCTGTGTTCCTGATGGTTTTCTCCATGATGGCTCTGACCAGTGGTTTCCAGTACCACATTTGCAGTGAGTATTTCTTCCTTATCAAGCCCTGCTTAAGTTACTAAAACACAGAAACACAAACCAACTCTAGTTTAGATTATCTACAGCTGCTCCAGATTGTAGCTCTACTGATAAACATTATCTGGTGTTTTTGTCATTGTTTTCTGATTTCCTCAGTGTGACTGCTTGGAATCACAATTCTGATCCTTAGTAAATGTGACACATCTTCTTTAATAAAACAATACTTTTTCTTCAGTATATTTCCTATATTTATGATTTGAATGTCGTCACTGTTCATTGTACACTGTACACACATCCTGGTTGTGATCTGCACAAGAGTCACTGGTTTTCCTGTCATTGAGGGAGTTAGCTTCTTTATAATAAGTGTAATGTTGCATCATTAAGACGAATGCCATGAACACTAGAGGTGATGATAAATCAGCAGAGGTCAATAGATCAACCACTGTCCTCCTCTGATCTGCCATGACAGAGATTTGACTGAAATACCCGTGTCCAGCAGGTCATGGTTGCTCATTTTCATTAAACAATGGTCGCCCATCTGTTGCCAATTCTGTGACTTTCTAACTATATTTGGCAAATAGGATATTTAAGACAAAAAAAACGGTCAGACTTTTTAAATGTTGATCAGACAGAAAACTGGAATCAGTGAACCACCGACATACAGCTGTTGACTGGAACTCTGCTTTTGTTTGGCAGGTTACCGACCTTTCTACTTCCCTCGTGTTAAGTTGTGTCCTCCTGGCTGGACGAAAATCAGAGGTCGCTGCTTTCTCTATGTTGCCAGAGCCAGGACTTGGGCTGATGCTGAGGTGATTTCCAACATAAATATTCTCTTTTTTCCTCTTGCTCTCTTTTATTTCACTGATCTTAATGAACAAAATCCACTTCATACCTCAGAAAATTGTTGTGCATTTTTTTGTAGAAAAATGTCTGTCCATGGGAGCAAACCTTGCATCAGTTCGTAACGCGTATGAGTATCGATGGGTTCAGGCTCTGATACGTGCAAGAAGTCGCAGGTCTGGAGAAACATGGCTGGGAGGCTCTGATGCACAGCAGGTATTTCCATTACACTTTCTGTGTGTATTTTGTGACTCTGAATGAAATGTGTCATCTGCTGACACCATTCTAGGAGAGAACGTGGCTGTGGAGCGATGGAACTCCGATGAGGTACACAAACTGGTGTCGAGGGCAGCCTGATAATGCCAGACGCAGCCAGCACTGTTTGCAGATGAACTGGTCAGGTAAAAGACAATATCACACGTCTGTTTTCTGAGTTGATGAATGGACTTGTGGGTGACTGGATTATTTACTCTCCATATTGTAAACACACATCTGAAGTTAAATCTGACAAAACTTATGTTGTTTTTGGTTGGTTAGAATCACCCAAATTATTGCAAAAAATATATATTTGTTTTAGATTCATTTGTAATTTTCTTCTCAATCAGATGTTTTCATACATTTTGGTCAGTATCAGGGATAAACTGTATGAACCCTTAGGCTTTCTGACCAAAATGTGTAAACTTCTGAATTTGAATAAATTACAGAAACGGTCTCTCACAAGGTTCAGTTTTCTGGCATTTAGCAAAAATAAATAATTCTAACTGACCTAAAAAAGAGAAGTTTGAACTTATTTAACTTCAGATAAGATAAAAATTGTGGATGTTTTCAACAGCAGGAGTTTATATTCATTTTTTGTTGCAAGATGATTCATTTCATCATCCTTTCCAATCATTTTCATAATCCTGCGTCGGTGACTTCAGGGATTTCAGTACGTGATATTTCACTGATAATTTGTTCTCTTTCTCCTAGGCCGCAAGTGCTGGGATGACTTGTGGTGTAATTACAAGCGTCCTTCGGTCTGCATGAAGAAACTCTGAAAACTGTGAAGTTACTAAAAAGGCCTGATGTGTTGAACAGAACCAGTGGAGGATCAGAGCTGCTGTTTCTGTTTTCCTGCCTTTTTGCATCTTCATAGAAAACCCAAAAGATATTCTGCTTCTCTACTTTCTATCATTTCTCTGTTTAATGCAACCTAAGCAATGAAGCGACAAGCAAACAGCAGCTGGATTGTCTCTCTGTAATAAAATCAGACTGAATGAGTTTTAAGAAAGAACCTTTTATGCAAAACTTTCTTCTATTCTTTGGCTGAGCAAAAATAAAACTTTGAGCAATCAAAACAAGATGATGTGTGTTTTATTCTGTCCATGTGTTGTTCTGATGTTTTCATTATTTTTAACACAATCAATCATGTATGAGTTATTAAAACAAATATCACATTATAACAAAGAACTTTTCACATTCTTAATATAAAGTATTTCTGTGTGAATGTGATTTATTGTTCCAGCATAAAAAGTTTTCTTGTACATTTCCTGTTCACGTAAAAATTGCTTCTTTGTATCTATACAACATTTAAGTTCAGCTTTTTCCTCTTCCATCATCACCCATATAAAATGTCACAGATGTGATACTTGCACTGAATCACTGCAAAGAAACGTACTAAATAATATATTCATGATTCTGAAAACTTAGTTGAAGGTTTTACGTCATCTGCATCACTCTAATGACAAACTTTCTAGAATAAACCTCAGTCCATCTGAGATGCTACATCAGCTCATGTATTTTGGTGTTTTCTACTATTAAACAGTTTTTTGGGGAACTTGTTTCTTTGTTTTCCGGGAGCTTTGCCCGTGCCAGAGCTTCTCCCCATGATCTTCCCACTAAAGTTGGAGTTACTGATTAAAGGCTCACAGACTCAATCTTCTCCAGTGGACGTCTAACAAGCCCCCTGATTACAGACATGCTATCCATGTGTATATACAAAAATCTATATATACACATTTATTGATTTTTTATTTTCTTTTTTTCTTGGGTTTTATTCTGTCAAAGAGACTGAACATGTTGTTGCTTTGTTTATGTTTTGTTAATATCTTATCTGACTGTATTTTACTCCTTTAGGTTATTTGTAAAATATACAAATAAGGTTAAAAAAAATCTCGTCTGTCTTGTTTGAGATTTGGAATAAAAGTAAGTGCAGAGTTAAAATGCATATAAAGGCATATGTAGAGTTTGAACAATTAAAATGGCAGCTATAAACGTTTTTAGAGGAGATCTCAAACATGTGGATCTAAACTTGTGACCAGTTCTGGTCTCTAATCCCAGTGGTACCAGGGATCCATTGTATTTTTTTGTAGTGTGCATTTATGCTGACATCTAAAATCACTAAATAAATTACAAAAGCCAGCAAAAGCATGGTAAATAGTTCATCTGTTTGTAATTTAATCACTGTTTTAATCCAGATATTTCTTGATTTTCTTTGGTGTTGAAGAAAATCCAGTCTGAGACATCGAGGTCAGGATTTGGCCTGCAGTGCAGGAAACACTAAGATGTGATCTAGAAGAGGTTGAATGAAGGTAAAGATGTTTGCGAATGTAGCAAACATCTTCACACTTCAACACAGACAGCTCAACGGTCCTGAGGCTTCGTCAGTGGCTCCAGAGAATATCAGGATCCACTGGATCAGAAACACAACTAGATCCAGCAGGACCAGTAGAGACACAGGTCCATTATCTTAAGTCATCAGAGAATCATTAATGACTTTTAAAAGTGCAGCCAGTGCAGTGAAGGGCTCTAAATCCAGACAGAAACTTTCCAAACTGTTTCTCTGCTAACTGTCTTATTCCAGTCTGTTAGGTAGGAAGGGAAGGTGACTCAGCGGTTTCTAACGGTTCTGTTCAAATGAACCAAAGTTAGCTTTCAAGTGTCTGATTCATTTGTAAGTTCATATTATGAAAGCATGAAAGAATATATTAGTGAAATTCAAACTGTAGTTTTTGCAAAGCACTAATGAACGATATGAATATTCATGTTTAGATGCCTCCTAGTCTAGACCTTAGTAAGGACGACTCAGCGATTTGCGAAACCCTGAGAAGGTGAAGCAACACAAAAGACAGTTTTAATTTATATTCTGATTTTATCTTAGGCATGTTGTCTTTACCTAACACTCCTTATTTCATAGCAGGTTATTAAGCAAAATTAAACTCAATTTTATCAATTGAATATGTTTTAACTATATTTGAATCTTTTTATGTTTCTTGCTTTGTAGCTCAATAGAGCAGTTGATGGGATTGTTGTCTTGCGACAGTTTCCTCATGTTCTCTGGGTACAGCCTCTTCCTCTGACGCCTAAATATGACTGTTGGGTCAACAGGTCACTCAAACTGACCCTTTGTCTCTATGAGTCTGCATGATTGTATGTCCCATGTGTTTGTTTTGTTCTGTGATGGACTGGTGACCTTTCCAGGTGACCTTTCCAGGGTCCCCCTGCTTTGTCCCCAATGCTCACTGGAGAGACACCAGCAACACAGAGCCTGCACTGATATCTGATGAGGAGAGTAACCATGCATGTTCTGACCTGAATGAACTGATAACGTACTGAACAGTGAGTTTTCTACACCTCTACCTGACATGTGTTTAGGAATTTTTGAGGGAGGCCAGAAATCATAGTTGGTTTGCTCTTTGACTAGGCCACTCCAGAACTTTTGCTTTGATGGCCATCAAATCATATCTGCTGTGTAGATCAGTTGGATGCTTTGGATTCTTGTTTTGCTGGAAAGTAAATATTCTCTGAAGCTGTAGTTCTTTTGCAGATTAAATAAATAATCATCCAGGATGTTTTTGGCATTTTGCTGCTTTCATTTTATCTATCTCAGGATTGACTTTCTTTTTTGCCAAGTAGACTTTTTCTATTCCACTTTCCCAAAAGTCATAGATGAGCGAGATCCGTCTCATATCTGAGCTGCTGAAGCTTTTGGCTCCTTCATCCTGTGTCCTAATTTCTCCTGTTGCGTTCCCTCAGTTTCTGAAGATGACCCCAGAAGCAGCAAACTGCTGTTTTCTATGTTTATGTGCTCAACATGGAAATTGAAACATGCAGACACTAGGAGGAAAATAAATTGCTCTTACAATTGTCAGTGGAGGCAAAGATTTGCTTTGTGACCTTTGACACGGTGCACATAGAAACAATGCCTGCCGACAAACATTTAATAAAAATTAGCATTAAAGAATAGGCCTTTAGTTGCTACACTTTCAGTTAAGTTTGCTCAATTACCAAAACCCTTCTTGCTGCAACTGTCACAGCCATGACAAGTACAAAGACCAGGAGAGGTTTTGGTCAATGGTGAATGATGAGGCAAGGTGTGGACTGCATATGTTAATGGAGTGCAATTCTGTGGCAATTCTGTGAAATTGCCCCGAGTCATAATAAGTTAGAAGCTCTATAAGTATCCAGTGATTCTGCAGCGAAGGTAGAAGGTGCTGCCTGGCTAAGAAACATCATCCTTCATCAGGTTTGCTGACCAATTTTCTGACCATCTTTTTTTCAACACATTTGAATTTTACTAACATGTTTGCTTTACTTCGATTCGCTTTCAGTGTGCAAATTTGCATCAGCGCGTCATCTCCATCATGAAGCTGCTGGCCAGACGGCTAAGAGCAGTGGTGACAGTGAGTATTTTAAGTATAATGAAATCATAAAGTGACTAAAACACAAATTAACATCAGTTTCAAATATACGTATAGAGCTTCTGGCTCTGCTGATAAACATTATTTGATGTTTGTTATCTTTTTTGTTTGGCTCTAGTGGCTTTTTATTTGAAAGTGGTTTGACAGGAAACAGGGTAAAGAGAGAGGAGGAAGACATGTGGAAAATGTCACCAGGTTGGGAATTGAACTTGTGACCACCATCAATACGTGGGTCGTGGTTTGACCCCACGCCAACACAGCACCTCATATTTGGTGTTTTATGTCATTGTCTCCCAAATGTAACTGCTTGCAGCCTCGGTTCTGATCCGTAGTACTTTTGACACATCTTCTTGTGGTACACTTTACTAAAACACATACTTTTCCTTCAATTTTGGGAGATCAATGAACTGTTGATAGTTACAGATGAAACTGATCTTTTCCACCTGGCTTCTCTACCTCAGCAGAGGCCTAAAGACCACCGCTGTCCTCTTCTGCTCTGCCAGGTCTATCAGAGCCACCAGGTCATGTCTGCACATTTGCATTAAACAATAGTCGCCCTTCTGTTGCCAAACCGTGACTTTCTTGGTATATTTAGCAACATTTCAGACAAAAGGGTAAAAAATCTGCATCAGGTCAGGCTTCTGAAAGTTTTTGACTGGCGATTGGCCAGAAAACTGCAATCGGTGCAGGGTCCTGTCAGACCCCTCTTGACTCAAAGTCTCCTTTCTGTTTTTGCCATCAGAACGACTTGCATTGCTCCAGAGGTTTAATTGCTGTCCTTCTGGCTGGACTCCAATCAACAGTCGCTGCTTTCGCTATGTTGTCAAACGCATGTCTTGGGCTAAAGCCGAGGTGATTTTAAACCCCATTGTTCTCTTATTTTCTTTTATTTCACTGTTCTTTTAAACCAAACTAGCTGACAAGTTTCTACGCATTTTTCTATAGAAAAACTGCCTGTCCATGGGAGCAAACCTTGCATCAATTCACACCATGAACGAGTACCATCAGGTTCAAGCTCTGATACATAAAGCAAGTGGTAAATCTGGACGAACATGGATTGGAGGCTCTGATGCACAGCAGGTACTTTTGCCACTGCGCTTTATTTGTCGTGTGTTTTGTGAAACATTGAATGAAATGTGTCATCTGCTGAACACTTTTCTAGAGGGAATTTGGTTGTGGAGCGATGGAAGTCCCATGCTGTATAAACACTGGTGTCGAGGAGAGCCTAGTAAGAAGCCAGCACTGTTTACAGATGAACTGGTCAGGAAAAAGAAAATATCACACCAGTCTGTTTGTTCTGCTGGTTTCAGGGCTCGTGGGTGAAAATCTATTTACTCTACATGGAAACATTTTAGTTGACCTTTGCAAACAGTTGACCCACATTTGACCCACGTCATTCAGCTAAAAACAGATACTGAATTAACTTATGTAAACTTCTGGATTGTGTGAAAAATGTTCTGGAATTTACCAAATAGAAATAATTTTGTAATCCCAACAAGTTCGGTCTGATTTAATTTCAAAGAGTGGGAGAAAAAGTTTTGTCTTTTTATTTTGCGTGTTTAAATCTCTGGCTTAACTGTGCATTTACTGCATTAATAGGAGCTTATCTTAATATTTTTTTGTGGCATGAAGGTTTAATAAAACAACCTTTTCGATCATTTTCATGATATAGTTTTAGGTCACTTCAGAGTTTATTTATGGGAAGTTTGACCGATTTGTTCTCTTGCTCCTAGGCTGGGATGACTCGTCGTGTAATAACAAGCATCCTTCTGTCTGCGTCAGGAAACTCTGAAAACTGTGAGCTTCCCAAAAAGGCCTGATGTGTAAAACAGAACCAGTGGAGGATCAGAGCTGCTGTTTCTGTTTTCCTGCCTTTTTAACCTTCATAGACCTTTATAAGGTCTATGTTTCTGCCTTTTTGCTTTCTATAATTTCTGTCTTTAATGCAACCTAAGGAATGAAACGACAAGCAAACAGCAGCTGGATTGTCTCTCTGTAATAAAGTCAGACTGAATAAGTTTTAAGAAAGAATATTCTATGCAAAACTTTCTGCTATTCTTTGGCCAAGAAAAAATAAAACTTTGAGCAATCAAAACAAGATGGTGTGTGGTTTATTCATCAAATTCTTGTGATGCTCTGTTTTCTGAACTATTTTATAAAATCAGCACTATCTGGTTAAAATAAACAGGAGTAACATTTGAGAAAGATACTGCAAACAGTTAATGTAAAAACTGCATAAATAAGATGTGTTTTAATGTAAGGTCATGCAGAGGAACCGGGATTCTGCACTGGCACAGAAAGACCTGAAATGTTCAACTTTGACCACTAGATGGCGCAATGTGAGAATAATTTAATTGATATGTTCTGGGTCACACAGTGGATGTGTGTTGTTTTTATATTCATTGTGATAAATGATAATATTGTTGTTTTTGCTCATGGAAGAACAGATTCTCAAAGATCAATACACCTGAAATTCTGATGAACATTTATCACTGGAATTGGAAGATATTTTAAATACCCCAAATTAACAAACAAACACGGGCGTTTTACGTTCTGTAAAAAGCCTGTCCTGCCTATTTTGGCTGATACGGGTAGCAAGGAAGTTGCTGAATAAGCAACTGTGGGGCGACTATTGTTACTTGCTGCTGTGCAGACATGACCTGGTTTTTTGTACTGTCTGAATTTACAGTTTATGCTAATGAGCTATATGTGAATGTTCTCTGCTTGTCACCTGCCAGAGCTGATGTCTGCAGCTGCAAGAACCAGATGAGTAAGACACTTCTCAGCACCAGACCCCTGCAATCCTGCAAGGATCAAAGATGTTTTCCTTAAAAATCTAACATCGTAGGTGTTCCTAAACTTTAAAGATCCACTCCTTATAATTCCTAGTATGACACTGCTCAGTTTTCCCGTTCGCCCATGTGTCGTATCTTTTACAAGCACCTGCTTCAGGCTGGCGTGGGAGCTGCATTCTGTCTTTGGGTGTGGTTGGACTAATCCAGAGACACTGTTTATTGGGCAAATATGACCGGCAAGTTTTGGAGTTGAGTACACAGAGAACCGGTGCATGCACAGAGAGCATTTTTGGACTTAGTCGTAAATACGTTAAAAAAACGAATCAATTTTATCTCCTCCAGGATTTGATCTTAAAGTTAAAAAAAATCCCAAATCCAGATGTGTTCATGGTTCAGATACTAAACAAAGACAGTTGAGACTAAATCACTATCATCTGTGGCGCTTGATGCCAGTACAGAATATTCTAGTGAAAGTTTGAGTCATATCCTCCCTTCAACACCTGAGGAGAGATTTGATTGACCTCTGTCAGAAGCCCCGCCCACAAGAGAGAGAGAGATTTTCTGAATGAAGTTTGTTCACATTCATATCAGATGTTTGAACCTGATGGGGTCAGGTGTGTAAAGGTTTAGTCAAACTTGAGGGTTTTTCTCATAAAAGCAGAGAACAGTGATGCATTTTTGTCTTTACTTTGTCCTGGGACTGCTCTCATCAAAAGGTATGTGTAGTTTGAAGTTATTTCCTCTGGAGTTCATCTTAATGAATTATAAATGTGCCTTGACATGTTGAATGTGTTGTGGAACTCAGTAAACTGGCAAAAATGCCATTTAAAGTGAGATTTTTATTTCACTGGAACTAAAGAAAGTTTTTAAAGTGGAAAAAGTTTTCAGTTTCTCGTTGCTTTCTATGATGCAGTGTAAACAGTTAAAGTGCAGCTGCTCCAAAACCAGTTTAAACTGGTATTAAATTGAACATGAAGTGAGGTTTAGGTTTGCTTGACGTCAGTGTGTGGAAAACTTTCATTCATTTTACAATGATCCACGTAAGAGGGGACTTCCAGGGTTTGTTATCTTATCTGCTTTGGCTGCAAGGTTCAGGCTCAAGTTCAACACTTTTGTTTAGTTAACTCTCTGCCCCATTTGCTTGTGATAATAGTTTGTTCCGTGGTATTTGGTGTCAGACAGGGTTCCAGCAGCAGGTGTTGATACGTGATATGGAAATGTAACAAAGATAACAAAGCCCTGTGGCAAAGTGTGTCACAATCATTGGTGCTTGAAATACTGTGAATGCTTTCTCTTTTAAAGATTATCTTAAGGTTGTTTAGCCATGCAGCTGGTAATGCTGCTGCCTTTTAGGCTGGGCTCCTCATTCAGGGTTTTCTCTGCATGTCCTGGTTTCCTCCATTAATGCAAAACATGACTGTTGGACTAATTGGGTCCTCTAAATTAACGCTGAGATAAAGGAGAATGTAAATTGTCATTTGTTGTGTGTGCGGCGCTGTGATGGACTGACCTTATTGCATCCAGCCTTTCGGCCAACGATGTCTCAGCAGGAACTTCTGGTATTGAGGGGAAGCCTATGGCAATACTTGAAGTAGAAAGAAACAGCTATTTGCAGACTATTTGGGCTTGTGGTTGTCATCCTGATGGAGACCACAAGCTGAAACACGTTGCTCTGCAAATAAAGTCTTTTTAGTTTCTGCAGGTGCTGCTGGAGTTTTCCCTTCAGCAGATCTTTGATCCTCTCTGCTCACCAAAAATGGCCAAAACATTTTTGGATTTCAGGCTCTGGTTCCCTGTGTGGTGATAAACCGTGTGGACGGTTCTGAGGTGCATTATACGGCACATCGTTTGAGATTGAGCATCACAACTCAAGTCCAACAGTCATGCAATAAAAACAGTATTAAGACTGGTTTCATTACTGTCGACTCAAGATCTTGATGTAAGTTAAGTTGATGTAGGAATTGGAATAGAACAGGAATTCATTTCTGTACAACAGAACAAACATGACAGGCAATCAGCACAAAAAGATTCATACAAAGATATACAAATATAAACAAAAGGAAATAAAAATACAGTTACAGCAGGTACAGTTTTTCAACATAAATATTGCATTGCCATGAAAAGCAGTATATCCCAGTCCACAATAATGAGCAGCTCAGTAGGTTAATTTAATTTTATTGCACAAAATGTGCATGTGAATTAATTAGATCAACATTCCTTTCATATTTAGTGATCCTAATGACGCTGAAACATCAACGTCAACAACCACGGGAATTTCCCTTCACATTCACTGCAGAATGAAGCCAAGACTTTGATGATGACATTTGTTCATGATCGTAACATTATGTCCTCCTGCATTTAGCTGGGTACTTTTTGACTGACCAACTATTTTCTGAGTACATCTGTTTCAAAGTTGCACAATATTCAAACTTTACAGTTGTAGCTTGTAAACTGAGAGCGTGAGTCACGTCTGTGTTGTGTCTTAAGGCGGTACTGAAACTGACGACGGTTTATTTTTGACATTCCAGAAGATTTATTTGCTTGATCCATTCGGGTTTCCAGGCTTTGCATGTGAACTGCACCTTCAGGAGTGGAAAAGTTTAGTCTGCGTGAAAAGTGATCACACCCTGAAAGAGCTGCAAACCTGCTGCTTTTTATCTTATGAACGCTTGAGTTATTGTTTTATACTTTGCCTAAACAAGTTGTCTGAATCACGGGGCTGATATGTTGGTTCTTCTCACTTGATGGGAGAGTCTTCCGTGCAGAAAAGTGGGTCGTTTGGGATCAAAGGCCTGTGAGGAAAGTACAGGATTGCATAATTACATGAAGAATGTGGAAGAGCTTCTTCAGAAACCTGTTTGCATTAAGAGTCAAATCAGTTTTAGTGACTAAAACTGAAAATCTCTAAGACCGTCTTAAAGCAAGAGTTTTAAAAGGAGAGAAAATATGTTTCTATCATTTTGTCATAATTTACTAATCATCTATTACTTTTATTTTAACCTAAACAATATTTATTTCACACAAACATTGTTTGTGAAATTAAAACTTATATTGCATTTTGCATCCTTAATCTTGTCTTGCAGGTTGTTTCTCTGAAAATCCTGACCCCCAGAAGGTCGTGGCCTTTGCAGGTGAGAATGCCGTCCTGCCCTGCAGTTTGAAAAACTCTGGCAGCGATGATCTGCCTACAGTGGAGTGGTCCAAGGAGGGCCTGAAGCCCAACGTGGTCTTCTTGTACCGCAATGGCTTTGAGACGTTTGAGATGAAGAACCCGGCCTTCGAGTTCAGGACGAGCCTCTTCATGAGGGAGGTGAAAAACGGGAACGTCTCGCTGAGGATCTGCAACGTGAAGCCGTCGGACGCCGGGATCTATCAGTGTTTGATCATCCAGAGGAACGGAAGCAGAGATGCTACCAACATGCAGCTGGATGTTGGTATGACGGCTTCAGCTCCTGTCGGCTCAACATTTTCCATATTGATGCTGGATTTTAATGTTTTCTTATTTGTCCAGCTGCAGTGTCTGACCCAAAGCTTTCAGTGGATTCTGTCCAGAACCAGAGAGTGACGGTGGCCTGTGAGGCGACCTGCTGGCTGCCGGCTCCACTGATGGAGATTGTGGATGAAAACGGGAAGAACATCACAGACACTGTGGAGATACGAGCAGCAGATCCCACTGAATGTTACACAGTGAGGCAAACGGCCAGCGTGCCGAGTCACACAACCAGGTAACAGAACAAGACTTCAGGTTTTCTTCTGCCTTTTTACTCAACTGGGCAAGAAAGTCAGGATTTATTTCAGTTTGTCGGTCAATTAACCAACCAACTATTTAATTATCTACCTGCTTACTGTTAAACCTGCTTTTCTTTTCCTTACTTTCCAATTACCAGAAAAAGCAAGATATTTCTTCACAACAGAGCTACTAGTAGGGTGGAAAGATTAAATTGGGAATAAAACAAAGAAATAAGAAAGAAATTAAAGTCAAGATTATTAGAATAGCACATTTCAGAAACAAGGCAGTTTGAACCAAAAACATATAATAACCAATTAAGGAACAACCAACAAACATTAGATTTAGTCAAATGCCATCATCAAAATCACCAACCAAATACACATCAATGATGCAATTCTGCCACCTGCTGACAGCCAATGGTAGCTGCAGCTGAAAGAGTGAAAATATTTCAAGATTTTATTTATTTGTTTATTTATTTATTTTCATTTTAATCGGGTCTTGAGCCTCCAGAAAATGGTGCTTGTCTCCCTCTACAGTAGGGAAAAGAATGGTGGCTTTTCACAGAATGCTGTATCCAAGCATAGTTAAAGAAAGTTGAGTGGAAGAAAAAAGTGTGAATCAGAAACAGTGATGATTGCAGCCTTAAGAAAAGTGTTAGATCCTGAACATTTTATGAAAAAGGCTTAACAAAAACGGTTGTTGAGTGTTCTAATATCAACAAGCCTAAAAGCAAGTCAACATGGCCTTTCTGTGTCTGATTATTTTCACCACTAGAGGGAGCTCAAAAGGAGTCATTAGGAATTTGACAGTTTTAGAAATTTTGGGAGATTAATGTTGTCATCTGTTTAATATTCTTTAAATGGTTAATAACAAGTCCAAGACAAAGTGTTCATAATGAGACAAAAAGTAGGTCCAGAACTAAAAGCATAAAATATAAATTTATTTAAACACTGATCTGTGTCAACAGGATCGTCTGCAGAGTCAAACAGCCGCAGACGAACCAGAGCAGAACTGCAGAAATCCTCCTTCCAGGTACAAAGATGTCTAATCTAATCAATATGTTATATTTCATTATAGTCGCACCGTTAAACTATTCTGTATTCTATATGTATATTGTGATCTAACATTTTATTGGAGACAACATAAAATAAAATGCAAAACAGGCTAAAATGCTTTATACCAAAGATCATTCAGTGATGCTGGAACAAATTTAGGAATTTAATTGCTAATTAAATTTTTAGCAGTTGATCTGAATGTTAATCTTTCCATATTGTTGCTCCAGCTCAGTGGATGAGGTCCAGACCCGTCCAGCTCGCCGTCTTCTCCATTGAAGCGACAGCTGCAGTTTGCTTTCTTGGACTCTGTGTCTGTGGCGTCTGGTGGGCATGTTCCAAACTCGGTAAATCTGAACTTTATTCAACAAATTAAACATTTTAAAAGGAGATTGTTAATGCAGTAGTTGTTTGAACGCAGACAAGCAGAGCTGATATTACAAACTCAAGATTTTAAATGTAGAGTATGGTTTTTATTCCAACGCCTTTATAGTGGCCAATAAAAGGAGATGTCATTAAATCCTGATTATTTTTGTTTTTGTCTGTGTAGCTGAGCGAAAGCAGCAAACCCAGGGAATTTCATCGGATCATGAATTAATAGGAGTCACCTGTGAAGGTACGTTCCTACTAAACCCACTAAGTGAGACTGATGAGGTCGACAATACGGCAAACAGGATCATCGAGAATCTGCAAACAGAGTTGGCTCATCTCAAGTTGGAGAACTGCAACAAAGACCAGACTATCCTGAAACTGTTGGGGAAAATCCAATCCATGCCTGCTGCTCCCCAACACAACCAGCCAAGAAACTCCCCTCACTGGGATTACCCAATTCTTCAGGTCTTCAGACCACAACTTGAAGAGCACAGAGTTTCCTGTAACAAAACCAGGCTCCTCAAAACTGCTGAGCTCCCAAAGCCAAAGTGGGAATCTCGACCTTGGCCACAGAAAACACAGAGTCGTCCGTATTCACAGCTGCCCAGCTGAGCTGATTTCAGCACCGGTGGTCCGATGGGACGAGGAAACCGCTTCCCCGCCTCACATGGTTCTCCACAGCGACTCACGTCAGAACGCTCGGCTGCTTCAACGCAAACACTCTTTAGGGCTGCTTCCATCTTTTCCTTCCAAAAACTTTTACTTTCCTCTCCCTCGTTTACCAGAGCAGTGAAGAACCTTTCAGCAAATGAGTCAAATCTTTCTTAATCCAAGTTTACCTCTGAAATGTGGGCCTGATGTTTTACAAGAGGATCAACTATGAATTCATGAGGATGACTTTCATACAGTAAATAATATGTATTTTTGCCGTGTGATGGTTTATTGCAAGATGAATCACTATGCAGTCAAGAAAGGTGAGTTCTTGACTGAGTGACTTGATGTTTTCTTGCCAGAAAAACCTGCTGAATTTCTAGAATTAGAATAAAATAGAAACAGAATAGAAAAGAAATTCCTTCTTCCAGAGAGGAAATTATGGTGCAAATGGAAATTAAAGCTTGTACATTCACACAAAAATAAAATTATAAAAATGCTTGAAAGTGGAATAAAGAATTATGTCTTAATGCAATTTAAATTTTTAACATTTTCCTCTGCTGCTTTTCTTCTAAAAAAGTTTTTTTATATCAGAGTTCATCGTAGTGAAGATGAAACAAATTTCTCTAATGTTTGTTGAAAGATGAAGATTAGAAACTAACTTGGTGTTTTCTTAATTTAAATATTCCCTCTCATGCTCCGAGGTGTTTCTGTCCTGCTGCAAAGACACTGACTGTGTGCAACAGTTTATCTCCAGATACGTTACTGTTACATTGCTGGTTGGATAATTGAATATTTAATCTCTAACACTAGTTGGCTGGATGGAAATGTGAGAAATAATTTTTATTCTCAGGTTTTTAAAATGCTATGTAATGGGTCCATTTTGCTTTTATTGTAGTTGCATCCAGCTTCATTTTTTTGTGCTCCTACTTTTAGAGCGCGCACTTTTATTATTTATTTATTTTTATTTTTATTTTAATGTTTGAATTGTTTAGTTTCTACACTATTGAGCTCTGGGATGGTTTCCATCCTTTTCTTTTCTCCTGTTTCCTACTGTAGATGTTCATGTTCATGTAAACTTCTGCACTTGATAAATTTTATTTTTAACAAGTATGTGTGTTATGACCTTTTGTATATTTTTGTTACGTTGTAGAATAATTTTCACAAATGTTTGTTCATTTATTCAGAATAAAATGTAAATTGTAATGATCAAAACTGTTTTATTGGGATATCTTGGACTAGACAACAACTTTGTACTTGAATGTAAAATATATTTATTTATCACCAAAAGTGCAATGTCTTCATTATGAGCACAAGGAAAACAAAGATGAGAAAAGGAACCAATAATTAACTGTTGCAGAACCTAGAAAGTTACAAATTATTGAAACCTGCAGGAATCTTATGATGAATAAGATATTTAATCAAATAAAACTGAAACAGTGTTTGTAAGTTTCTTGATTTTGCTGTTTTCTTTAAATATGTTCCTTGGAGCAGCTGCAGGAAGCGGCTCCTCCTCGGCGCCGTTGTGTCTTTGTGAATCCTGAATGTTTTACTGCAGGCTGAACTCATGGCCTCCGGTTCACTGGAAGTCTTTCAGTCATTGGAAATTTGCAAAGAGGAAACTGAATGTTGCTTCAATAAAAGTGGCATCCGCCCCTCTGTCTTCGCCTTTCAGACTATTTACCAATTGACTTGTTTTCAGTGTCACCTCAGTTTTAATTCTACAGCAATGATCAAGAATTATTAAACGAATTTAGTCTTCAGTGAAAATGACATGCTTTTTATCCCCAATTGTGTTTGTTTGTTTATTTCAACAGCAGATATTTGACATCAGTAACAATTAGACTAATCAGAAAAACAAAAACAGGTTTCCCTCCAGGAACGCTAACCTCCACAAAACGACTATAAGAGCTGCAGAAAATTTGAGATTTGTCAAATCAGAAAAAAGAAACTCCAAACATCATTAAAATTACTACAATTTAGTTTTTGGTTTTGCTATTGGATCTTTTCTGCTGTTTTTTTGTGTAAAGAAATGTAGACATTTTTATTCTCGATCCATCTCTGTTTCCTCTCTGGATGCATAATGGCTACTGGACACAGGAAAACAATTTAACAGAACTTTACTTTTGTGACTAAATAAATAAGTTGGAAATTAATTTTTATTTTTATTTTAAATTAAGTATTTGCTTGAGGCAAACAGAAAATGGAACTTATTGCAGTTTTCTTTATGGACAAAAACAATTATATTATTTATAAGACTGTACATTATTAATGTTGTGATAGTGTTTCTCTAAGACTTTCTTGCTTCATTATTATAATTTGAGCCTCGTGTCTGATCACCAGACAGACACAAGGACAGGTCAAAGGTCATCTGTCAAAACAGTTTGATTAAAGGGAGAACGTTTACTTTTCTCTCAGATGCTAGAATTGCCAAATATTTCTTCTCTTTCGCGTCTTGTTGTTTATGACATGTCTTCTACTCCGATTAGGCCGGGTCCATTGTAGGTTGAGGCTAAACTTGAGTTGAAAATCCAGCCAATCAGATCAATCAGGAAAGTTACTAAATGGAAATATGAAGCTATATTTGCATTTTATTTATGGGATAAAAGCTTAAAGCATCCTGACCTCTGGCAGGTTCAGAACAGAATGGCCTTTAGGAAAATCTCCAGACCGTTTGGCCAATCTGATATCTGAGCTGCTGCAGCTTGGAGCTCCTTCAGCCTGGTCATGGTTGTCCTGCTCTCCTCTCACTGCTCTCTTTCTTCCACAGTCACTCAATCTGTGAGGACGACCTGATTAGAGGCAAATGCCTGATTATTGTGCTCAGTCTAACGGGTTCATCTGCGTTTTGCCTTCTCAATAGAAATGGAAAGATAAATATCTTATTTTGATATGTGAACTTAGTTGCAACACTTTAGTTCCTGTTCAACCAGATGTGAACTAACAGTTCATTTCTTTGGAATTTCATTTCCTCATCTTGCGAAAGTAGCAAAATCAGAAGCTCTATAAATATTAAGTGATTCTACAGTGAAGTTAAAGGCGCTGGCTTTCTGAAAAGACAGATCATTCTGCATCAGGTTTGCTGATCAAATTCCTGCTCATCTTTTTTGTGCCATTGTTTGAATGTTCTTGACATGAATGCTTTATTTCAATTTGCCTTCAGCTTTTATATTTCCATCGTCTCCATCATGAAGTTGTTGGCTGTGTTCCTCGTTTTCTCCATGATGGTTGTGACCATTGCTACCTGTGAGTATTTATTACTTTTGAAGAAATCAGAAAGTGACTAAAATACAAGCAGAAACACTAATTCCTGTTTTAAATGTCAACAGCTGTCTCCAATGATGGCACTCCTGGTGATGATCGGTGGGTGTTTTTGTTATGTTTTATTTCCTTAGACTGAATACTCAAACACAAATTCTAAAATACGTTGATCTTCTTGTCGAGTACTTTATTAAAACATAACACATATTTTCTTTTCAGAATATTTAATAGACTTTTATTAAAATGTCTCCACTGTTTTTTGCAAAGCACACATGTAGTTTTGACCTGCACAAGGGTCAGTGTGTTATGTAATTTATACTTAATTTAATCTTACATCATTTTGATTCAACGAAACAATGTCACTGTATAAAGCCACATAAACCTCTTGATCTGAACTCTGAATCCATTTGTTTATTATCAGATCTCCTTCTTGTCCTTTCGGCTGGACTCTGATCAACAGTCGCTGTTTTCAATATGTTGCCAATGAGATGACTTGGGCTGGAGCCGAGGTGACTTCCAACGAGACTCCTCTCTGATTTCTTTCACACATTTCTTTAGCACATCATTATTTGTTTATCTATAGAGAAACTGTCTGTCCATGGGGGCAAACCTTGCATCAATTCACAACATGAACGAGAACCATCAGATTCAGACTCTGATATTTACAGCAAGTCATGAGTCCAATGAAACATGGATTGGAGGCTCTAATGCACAAGAGGTATTGTTACCAGTGCACTTTATTATTTTGAGTATATTGTGAAAGATTGAATGAAATGTATCATCTGCTGAACTCTGTCTTCCAGGAGAGCATCTGGTTATGGAGTGATGGAAATCTATTTAGCCACACAAACTGGTGTCCAGCAGAGCCTAATAATACTAATGGCATGCAGCACTGCTTACAGATAAACTATTCAGGTAAAAGAAAATTATTTTTGAATTGCTATAACAACTAATAGGTAAAGGCTTATTTACTGTGCATGCAAACTTTTTGGTTGATCTACATCTACATTTATTGCAGTAGCAGTAGGAGGATAGGTTAAAAAGCTTTAGTTGATCAAACTTTATAAAAAATGATACTGTGTCAGGTTTTATTAGGATTCTGTGTTTGCGATGACTCATTTATTCCCTTACTTCTAGGTGCAAAGTGCTGGGATGACTTCGACTGTGGTGCCCGTAAACCTTCTGTCTGTGTCAAGACAATGTGAAAACTGTGAGCTTCCCAAAAAGGCCTGATGTGTAAAACAGAACCAGTGGAGAATCAGAGCTGCTGTTTCTGTTTTCCTGCCTTTTTGCACCTTCATAGAAAACCCAAAAGATATTTCTGCTTCTCTACTTCCTATCATTTCTCTCTTTAATGCAACCTAAGCAATGAAGCGACAAGCAAACAGCAGCTGGATTGTCTCTCTGTAATAAAGTCAGACTGAATGAGTTATAAGAAAGAATTTTCTATGCAAAACTTTCTTCTATTCTTTGGCTGAGCAAAAATAAAACTTTGAGCAATCAAACAAGATGATGTGTGTTTTATTCTCAGTCTTTGCTGTGTTTAGTTTTAACACTATCATACACTAGTTATGATGTCATTAGAATTTAAATATCACAGTAAACATGACATTTTGCAAAGTGTTGTCATTACACGTCAAACTGTTGGTCAGTGCTGTAATGCAATGTGTTGTGTTGCTAAGGCATTTATTGATTTATAAACTACCAACAGTATTTTAAAGTGTTTTCTCTCAGTGGAAGAACTTTAGGGCTGGGTGATGTGCTCGATCATCCTGTTTTAGTCAGGCTGCCAGCAGCAGCGTTCTGCAGAAGTAAAGTACTTCATTAAGTAAAGTTATCTTCATTAATTAAAGAAATTAATTCTGTTGATTCCATTATTTAGTCATTTGGAATCCACAACTTTTTCATTTAAACTTAAATAGATCCTCATTGACTAACATATTCTTGATAACATGACACATATTTGCTTAAGTCACAAAGTCCCAGGTCTTTGAAGAAGAGAAAACTTTAGTCTTATCACAACAGCAAACGCTCTCACCAAGCACCACAAAAATAAAAATGTCACAAGTTACAGAGACAACATATCATAACTCGGTGTATAAAATGTCAACTGTTGACAAAATCTACAAAAAATATGTTTTAACAAATCATTTTAAATGTGTGGTGGTTGTAGAAATTGCAGCTATTTAAAGTTCTGAGAGAATTTGGATTTTTGTGAATGTTTGAGAATCATTGAATGTTAAGTTTTTGAGCTTCCACCTCTCCTCCTCCTCTCAGCTCCTTCAGACTAGTGGCAGCAGCATTTAGCAACAGGGACTGCACATCTACAACACTCCTAATAGCGACTGTAAATAGCATCAGTGGACTGGAGGAGAAATGTTGTGAAGGAAGGTCTTTCTTAAAGAGACAGAGCCCAATTTCAATGTAACATGTCATTTCTGTTCAGTTGTTTTACTTCATTGTGCTAGAAAATGGAACCATGTGATATAGATATATAATAGATAAATAGATGATAAAGATGATAATATCCCCTTTAGATGATGTTAGAACCTATTAACATATTATTATGGACTGACAGTAGAGAAAATTCAGTTTATACCACCTGGTGATGTGTTATCTTCTTTGCTTTGTGTTTGGAGCGCTCCTGATCAAAGGTAAGAAAGAAAGCATATTACAACACTTACGTCATAGTTTACAGAACTTAAAATAATATCGAAGTGGTTGGATTTCTCTCAATAAAGCAAGTCTGTTAATAATAAATGATACAAAGGAGTAAAAGGCTTTAAATGAAAATGAAACAGTTTATACATGAATGCAGATTAAATGTATTAAGCAAACAGCAAAAAGAATAAAAACTTAAATTTGGGAATCTGTGGAATCCAGTTTATTTTTTACTAACTGCTCGATGAATTGGTTAAAAAGTTTATTTTCTCTATTTTTTATGTCTGTAGTTCAGTTAAGAGAGTTTAGGTTTAAATTTGAGAGGCTGGGAAGTTTCCAGAAATGATTTAGTAACATAAAGCTGCATGTAGAAACATCTATTTTAAATTGTTTGCTTTCACTTTAAAACCAGACAACTTCAATGGCATGAGTTCAGACCAGGTTACTCAGTAACCAGCTGGACTTTGTCTCAACATGAAACCTGACCAGCTCGTTTTACGGTATAGAACCGGAAATTTCATACTCCAACTTAAATGCTATTATTATGGACTGACAGTAGAGAAAATTCAGTTTATACCGCCTGGTGATGTGTTATCTTCTTTGCTTTGTGTTGGAGCGCTCCTGATCAAAGGTAAGAAAGAAAGCATATTACAACACTTACGTCATAGTTTACAGAACTTAAAATAATATCGAAGTGGTTGGATTTCTCTAAATAAAGCAAGTCTGTTAATAATAAATGTTACAAAGGAGTAAAAGGCTTTAAATGAAAATGAAACAGTTTATTGTGAAGCCAAATCAGATCGTGTGTGTGCATGTATGAAGAAATATCAGGCTTCCTCTAATCTCTGACGGCCAAATAGTTTCACTTTCCAAGCTGCTTTTTGCCTTCTTGCTCATTGTTTGTTCATCCAACTCAATCTAACAGAGTTTGCTCTTCAGTCGGATGCACTTGCTAGGATTTAGGACAGAAGTTTGTCTTTTGTTTCACCTGTACTACAAAAACCACACTTTGATTCAGAAGGTAAGTTCTCTGCAGGCAGTTACTGTAAATCACGTGAACATGACAACGCACTTTCTTCAGCTGCCTTTACAACATGGAGAAAGTCCATTTGGAAAAAACCCATCATCCAGGCCTCTGCTTCTATATTTAGGTAAATGCAGACACACTCAGTGTGCATTCTGCAGAAAAAGTTCTATTGCAATCAATTTTTAGATATAAAATAAGAAAATTGGGCAGCAATGGTTTCTAAATGGAGAATTAAAAATGTATTCGTCTGATAGGGATGTTTTAATGAAACAAAATATATCTGACTTCATTTACACATTAACAAATATTAAATAAAGGAAGTGGAAAATTATTTGTATTGAAGTTACTGTTAATAAAATAATTTTTAGATTTGCCAACTTCAAGGATTAGAGCGATAAAACTTTATATCTGTTCAGAATCTGTTTTTATTTCCTCAGCTGTTTTCCAGCTCAGATATTATTTAACAACATAAAGCAAGTAAACTGTTGGCTAAAGTAGAATAATTCATCATAAGTTGCTTCCTGATGATGTTTGTTGTATTTTACAGGACATGCGTGTCTGTCTGCTCAGCCTGGGCAGGTCGAGGCCTTCACTGCTGGGATCGTCGTTCTCCCCTGCAGACTGAACATCCGTCCCAGTGACTATGTTCAGACAGTGGAGTGGTCCAAACTGGTCGAAGGCCAGAAGCCAGTCGTCGTTTTCCTGTACCGTCACGGCTGCGAAACCTTCGAGATGAAGGATTCCGACTTCGAGTATCGGACGAGCCTCGCCATGAGGGAGGTGAAGAACGGCAACGTTTCGCTGAGGATCTCCGGCGTGAAGCTGTCCGATGGCGGGACGTATCGGTGCCTCGCCATTCAGAACAACGGCCGCAGACAGGAAACCAACGTGGAGCTGCTGGTTGGTGAGTCAACTGAAGTGACCTGTCAAGTTTAAACCAAACAACCATGGCAGAACAGCACACACTTTAAAAATATATCCTCTTTATAACACTGTTTTTAATCTTTATATAACAGAACTGAAGTCTTATTTTATCCTTTATCATGTCTGATTACATCATTTCTGAAAACCACTGTTTACTTCAGATGCTTTTATTTTGAAGTAGCATTATCATTTTGGCCTCTGTTCACAATTTGCTTTCCATCTAAAAGTTCACATGGAAAAATAAGGATTTTAATTTGACATTTTTGTTTGTTTAGTGCTCAATATGAAACTCAGAAGGAAATAATCTGACTTCTGAAACTCAACAGTTCATATCTGGCAACAGTTCTGAACATTTTACTTATATTCTGATCTTAACATAAAGTTTCTTGTCATTCCAGCTTCCTGGGTTGAATCCACCACCACAACCACTCTGATATATGTTGCTTTAACAGTTTCATTTGCCTTTAATCTACTGTTGGTGTCATATCTGTTGGTAACAAAGAAGCCAATGAATTGTGGTAAGTTAATGTTCTTATTTAGCAGAATAAATACGTCAATAACTAAAGTGATGGTATTTCCAGAGAGAGACCAGATGGGGAAATATGAGCAGAAAAAACTGACGTCACACAGGAATTAGGAAAAGAACATTGTAATATGAATTACTTTTGCATATCTTGTTATCAGTTGATAAGAGAAAATATATTTGATTGAATGAGATCTGCTAAATGTGATATTTATCCAAACAGATAACAGAAACCATATGGCATATTGTACAATTTACTTACATCAGTTTTCTGTGAAACTGAAAGAGGATAAATAAAAAATACATATTAGTATCATTGTTGTAACACAGTCAAAATCACTACATACATAATTTTTATGCACACACATATGATCTTTTCATTAGTGACAAACAGAGCAAACTATAAAAATGCAGAACTTCTCCCCAGATCAAAGTGTTTGTAGCAATTTAACTTATAATACTAACAGATGATGTTTCAACAGGCAACAAACAACAAACAGGACTGAGAAACTGCTGCTGATTTTCAGAAAACTGACCAGGAGCGACCACTAGAGGGCATAGTTTAGCAAGAAATAAGACAATACTTAAACAGCTAAGCAATGAACATAAGATAATTTTAAACATAATTTACTCTGAAAACTAGATTTGTTATGTAAACTACTTCTCTTTGAACCTTTTTATAAACACTAGTGGTTGATTAGGAACCTCTAACTGTTAATAACTGATTATTCTTCTTTAAGAGTTTGCACTAAATGGGCTTTTAGTGATTTGTAAGAATCCCCAGATGTGTTTTTTAAAGCTCTAAAACAATAAAAAATTGTTTAAATTTTAAAAGGGGTAGATCAAAAGAGAAATGTAAACTGGAAAAATTAATAGTGTGAATTATAGTAACTTAGAGAAATTATACAAATGGGATAACAGTCTCAACTTCTGCTTCTTCCATTCTGTCCATTTCCTGTCATTCCTCTTTGTGGTTTTGTGGGTTTTTTAATACAAAACGCTTCATACCTCATTCTGCATAGGATACATTTTTTTCACACATTGTCATATTCCCAAAATAAAGGTTTCATCGAGTATTTTTTTATTTATTTTACTTTTTTGCCTTAATCTTTTTCTTTTCTTTTTTGCAAATAAGTCACATTATTTTAGGAAGGTAACAAAATGCTTGTGCCTGGTTGCTCATGTTTTCCTTATTGTTTAAAAAAAACATTCTTAAAAACATTAAATGTTTCTGATGTTTCCATCTGGCTCTTTTCTGACTGTCTGAACCCAGATGGAGAAAAACCATCACAGCAAAGGACAAGTTGGACCAAACCGTGACGACTGACGTCAGTGAATCCAATTCCCTTCTGAACCAGCTGAGTCTGACTGAAAACAAGCAGAACTGCATCTTGGAGGAGCTGCACCACCAGAGGCGCAAAGCGGACACCATCCAAATAGAGGACATCAGTTTCTGGAGCCGTTCGATCTGTCGACACCAACATCCAACAATCAGCCAGAGCTCCACCGGATCGCCCCGGATCCCTGGAAAACCCGATCTCTCATGTCTGATCCCGATCCTGACGCTGAGGCAGCAAACTCACCAGGAGATCAGGAGCCAAACCAGGCCTGTTCCTGACCCGAAACATCTGTCCAAAAACCAAATGCAGAAAAACCTCTCAACTCCTGAATGATCATCGTTCACAAAGCAAGTTAACAAATTTTGTTGGTTTAACTCTGAAGTTGAGGTTAATATATTATGACTGATCTTAAATAAATCGTGTTCCTGAATGTTTCTAAGAAACTGAATGACGGACAGCATGCAGACTTGTTGCCGCTACTTGTTGCCGCGACTTGTTTTGGTGTTTTTGATTTAAGCTTTTGATGGATAAACTTCATGACGATCAGAGTAAAACTCTGAACTGAACAAATGTTTCTTATTCATTTATTGACGCTGAAGTGAATCAATAAAGGAAACCTGAAACTTTTCAAAAACATCTCATGTGGGCGGAGCCTCAAGGTCACGTTATAATATTAGAAAAGGTTAAAAGTTTAGTGAAAAACTTTTCCAAGGTTCTGTAAATATTCAGAATGTTTAGACCGGAGTTAGCTTTAGACTAAGTTAGATTATTAAAGATTGTGAGAATTAAATGTAGCATATTTGAAAAGACAATCTAAATTGTTATTCAATATAAATGGCTTTTAACCAAGATAATAGGCCAGTTTCCTTTCTTTTTTCTTTCAGAAGAATAGGTCCGACTCAAGAAAGAGCAGTTAGACTAGAGTTTTGCAGCTGCGAGTGTTTTGTATTTGCAATGTGAATATCATATTTACATATTTACAACCACAACATTGGGATATGCAAATGGCCATCAAGGAAAAAAACAAAACAATGAAAAAAAAGAAAAATAGAGGAGAAAAGAAAACACAACAAAGGGGAAAAAACAAATTAATCAATCGTTCCCAAAGTTCATCTTACAACTCCTTAGTCCATCCACCCCGAATGGGGATTAATCAGGCTCGCAAACAAGGCGAGTATCCAGGCGTGGTTCACGTCCTGGGTAATGAAAGTCCAATCAAAGAAGGAACAGAGTCTTCTGTCATCAACAGGTGAAATCTTTCTTTGGCTCTAGGCCTCGTCTCATAGCTCACCATCCACCTGGCCTGTTCCGCAGTTTTGCGTCATACTACCGGATCTTTTTCATCTCCCTTTCCGGCTCACAATAATGGGCTCCTGCCAGCTCTGCTCCTTCCAACGCGTTCTACCCTTCACGCCCCTTCGCTTGAGCTAATATACCTACCCGGTAAACTGGAAAGGTACATGTGACCCCAGTACTCAACCGCGATTGGCTAAATGATAATCTCGCGAGAATCACTCATAATACTATTAAAACATCGCGAGATTTGAGGCTAAAAGGCAAAAGAGTAGAAAATCAGAGGAAATGAAGGTTTAAAATTACACTCGGGTTACATAAAGGATATGAAATAAATGTTTGACTCTGAGATTAAACTGAGATTTTGTGGGACTAAATAAGAATTAAATATTTTGTTCTTTTAATAATCTTATAAGAGTAAAAAGATAGATAGATAGATAGATAGATAGATAGATAGATATAGATAGATAGATAGATAGATAGATAGATAGATAGATAGATAGATAGATAGATAGATAGATAGATAGATAGATAGATAGATAGATAGATAGATAGATGATAGATAGATAGATAGATAGATAGATAGATAGATAGATAGATAGATAGAGAGAGAGAGAAGCTGTTATGTCCGACTGCAGTGAAAGCAGCATGACGCACCATTGAATTAAATAACCTATAAATCTCAGTTTTCATGGTTTACCTTTGATTTTATACTGACAAATTGAAACCAAGCACTTCACTACCAGAAGTTAAATGACAGCAGAAGGAGCTTAATGACCATTAAATCGTCACTATTACTGATCAGTTTTAAATGTTTCGTGAGAAATGCAAGAATCTGGAATGATTTTTTTTCCGAGTTACAATGAATGCATCATTTTGTAATAAAGTTTTTTTTTTTTTTTTTTTTTTTTTTTTTTTTTTTTGCGGAAGTCTCAGTTCCTGTCTGGTTCTGATTGTGAATGAATCCCTGCTGCTGTATCTCCTGTAAATAAAGACAGGAACTCCGTTTCATCCTCGGTGATGTATTTGCATCTCTTCCTGGTTGGACTGTCGCTGTTATTCTCAGGTAAGGGGTCAGAGGTCATAAATGTTTTTTTCCTGTAGTTTCAGAGACGATCTGTGGAGAATTTGCTCAGTCATCCGATAACGTCTTTTGTTAGTGATCGATTACATAAAGTTGTATCTATTGATAAGGACCAAGGAGTTAAATGACAGCAGAAGGAGCTTAATGATCATTAAATCGCCTCTATTATTGATTATTGACGAATCAGGAGTAAAATATTGGTTTGTACTCCATGATTCATTTGACTGTGTAAATGTGCGCTAATAATAGTCTATTGTTCTCACCGCAAGCTGTTGCTTTCTCTTTTCCTTTTAAAACAATGTGACGTCAGATGAGATGTTATTCAGATAACTTTATATAAACCTGGAAGCGTAAAAACTAACTGTGACTCAAAGGGTATGAGGAGTTTCTTCTGCTTCCTCTCTATGGCTCTTGACTCCAAGTTCACCACCAGTTTCACAATTTGTGCACAAATTGTGATGGGTTTGGGTTTTATGTATCTATTTAGTCCAAATGTAAACACATGTCCTGTGTTTACATTTCAGTCTGATCAAGTTGTGTCCTCATCCTAATTTTTAGCTCCCTCCACAGATTTCCCTGCTAAATTGTGATTAACCCTGAAAAACCCCTATAGTTGGAGTTTAGGTTGATAATTAATTGTAAATTAATTCATAGATGATTGAAAAATCCCATCTTTACTTTCAGTTTTATTATGCCTAATCAGCCGATGCTGTGGTAACGTTTTTATTTGATGGGGTGTTTACAACACCCCATCATAAAAATGAAGGAGTCTTCATAAACGTCTGGCTGTTGTGATGAAACGTTATTAGATAAATATGACTCTTTTAATGCAAAATTGCACTAAAAGCCCATTAGATGTGTTAACTTGCATTACAAGTGTCATTATTTACTGAATGATATTTCATGACAACATTCATAAAGACTCCTTTATGATCATAACATCATGTTTATGATGATGTCAATAAATGTTTCCGATGCGGCTAATATTTTGGTTTTGTCTGGAAAAGTCAGTAATCTGCTAGTGATGCTCATTTTTGCAGGAGTTTCTTCCACAGATGCTCAATCTAATCAAGTCGATGCTTTTGCTGATGAAGACGTCATCCTTCCCTGCACCTTCAACATCCCAGCTAATGAAGACATTCCCACGGTGGAGTGGTCCAAAGTGGTGGAAAGGGTCCAAGCCAGTAATCGTCTTCTTGTACCGCGACGGCTGCGAGACCTTCGGGATGAAGGATCCAGACTTCGAGTACCGGACGAACCTCATCTTGAAACGGCTGCAAAACGGGAACTACTCACTGAGAATCTCCAAACTGAAGCTGTCCGACTCCGGAACGTACCAATGTTTGGTCATCCAAAAGAACGGAACCAAAGAACAAACACGAGTGGAGCTGGTGGTTGGTACGTTTCTTTCAGTCACTTTTGTTTGGTAACTCCTCTGTTATTGATGGAGAGTTAACGCAGCGCAGTATGTCATTTTATTCTAATAGCATCTGTTAAAATCAAAGTTACAAAGGGCTTCATCTATGATCTTGACAACTGGGGAAAACCTTTTTTGCTGTAAGCAGGAGTCCAATATTTTGTTGTTTTAGAGAAGAAAAAGAATTATGACATGATTTGGACTTATGGGCTCAAATCAGTGACATGCAGTGAGACTCTACCAGCTCAAATGCACCAATCCTCAATCCAACATAGAAGCTGTATTTTAATTCTGATCACACCTAAATAAAGTGTCTAACAACATGATTACAAGAAAGATAAAATAATATTTAATAAGGTCAAATGTTTCATTTGGCTGACCTCTCTTCTGATTAAAACTGATTATTTTACAATGTCAAATATTTCTTTCATTCAGTTAAAAGAAAACAAATGACATCCTTGTTTCTCATTTTTCTTTCACTTTCAAGTATCTGGCAGCTGAAGAGCGTGACCTTGAACGGTTTTCTTCAAGAACATCTCTTGCTTGTTGTGTCTGTGGGGCTCAACACTGCCCCCTGTCAGTGAGGCATGATGCTTTCTGCCTCTGCATTTTCTCTGCATATGGCCGATCAGAAATAAGTCACATTAAATGTATCAAACAGACAAATACATTGGGAATATAAAGACAGACAGCAATAAGTAGTTGAAATACCCATTTTTAAATACCGGGATTACAGGCCCACACTTCACTGTCTCCAATCTATACATATCAGCAAGTAACAGAGGAAACTCTCCCTTTGAGTTGGTGAATTTTTTTCTTTTAAACACTCTTCACAGCAGTGGTAGTGATGGTCTGTAATCTCTGTCTCCACAGATTCGTGGTCTGAGCCGAAGCTTTCTGTGGTTTCTACCGACGGCGGAGAAGTGACCGTTGAGTGCAAAGCCCTCTGCTGGAGGCCAGCGCCGCTTATGACGATCCTGGACAATGAAGGAAACAGATTGACTGAAGAACCGGCGAAACAAGAAGAAGATCCCAGAGGATGTTACAACACAAAGCAAAATGTCACCCTGCTAAAAGCAGTAAGCAGGTGAGTTACCTTTAGAGTCTCTTTATATTCCTGGTTGTGTTTGAACAGACTGACCGATTAATGTGATAAAAGTGTTTTGGAGCATGAGCATCTCTTTTTATGCCAACCACTAGAGGGAGCTAATGCCTCACTGGTGTCCAGAATGAAGGATTTTTACATTATTATTAGATCAGCATTATTTCAATTCGGCAATTAAACTGTTTGTTTCACTAAATGTCTCTAAGATCTACTTGGGCACTTTCAATTTTACTGCAATTCTTTGTGTTGTTAATACCAACATTTCTCAGAAAAAGCTGCTAATTTCGTTACATGTTATTTAATTCATTACAGGGTTTTGTGCAGAGTCCAGCAGACAGAGAGGAATCAAAGCAAGGTGGCAGAAATACTCCTTCCAGGTACAAATATGATAGTTTTCATTTTCAATCATTTTTTAAATGATTTTTCCATCTTAGGCAATAATTTATTTCCTTTACATGATGCTGGATGATGTCAACTTATTAAAACATGCTTTAAACGAGAGATGCATGATCCACTATTAATATCAGTGACAATGTGGCCACTCCATGAGGGCAGATCTATTCAGTCTATTTCTATGCTTTGTGCTCTGAGTGACATCATAGTTTATTTATTTTACATTATATGTAGAATTTCTAATTTCTGAACCATTTCAAAGGTTTGTTGACGTTTATTTTGTACATATTTGACCAACATGATCAGTTTAGTTTATTTTCTATTTGTGTTACTTTGGCTGTTTAAACTCACTAATTGAACTGACTGAACAAATTCAGGATGTTTTTACATGTTTGACCACGAATGCGAAGCCATTGGTTTACTGGTGCAGAGTAAATGTGTTGTTGTCTGTTTTACAAAGAAGAAACAAAAAAAAAGGACATAATACAAATTCTTTAAAAAATAAATCTTGGGTATATTTAGGGCTGATATTTATCACATGTTTCACTGCAGGTCTCTGGAAGGAATCCCACACTACAGTCATTTCAATCTCAGTAGCAACAACAGTGATATTGTGCCTGACGGGTTTTATTTTGTATTGGTATTTCTGCAAGAAACGCTCCAGTTCTGGTAAGTTGTCATTTTAAATCACGTTAAAAAAATACAAATCTATGAGTGAAACAACATGGCAGACAAGCTCCAATAGATTATTTATATATTGTATTATATTTACACACTCACCGGCCACTTCATTGGGTACACCTGTCAGCCAATCACATGGCAGCGACTCAATGCATTTAGGGATGTAGAAATGGCCAAGACTATCTGCTGCAGTTCAAACCGAGCATCAAGACGAGGATGAAAGGTGATGTAAGTGACTGAATGTGTTATGGTTGTTGGTTCCTGACGGGCTGGACCGAGTATTTCAGAAACTCCTGATCTGCTGAGGTTTTCATGCAACCATCTGTAGGTTTTACACAGAATGGGCCGAAAAGAGAAAATATCCATTGAGTCTCAGTTCTGTGGGAACGAACACGTTGTTGATGCCAGAGGTCAGAGGTGAACGGCCAGGCTGGTTGAACTGATAGAACGACAACAGCAACTCATTTAACCACCGATTCAACCGAGGCCTGCAGAAGAGCAGCTCTGAACACACAACATGTCAAACCTTGAGGCGGCTGAGCTACAGCAGCAGAAGACCACAGCGGCGCCACTCCTGTCAGCTAAGAACAGGAAACCGAGGCTCCAATTCACACAGACTCACCAAAACTGGACAATAGAAGATCAGAAAACGTCGTCCGGTCTGGTGAGTCTGGATTTCTGCTGCCACATTCGGATTGAAGGGCCAGAATTTGGCCTCAACAAGAGGAAGCATGAATCCATCCTGCCTTGTGTTAACAGTTCAGGCTGGTGGTGATGATGTCATGGTGTGGAGGATATTTTCCTGGTACTTTGGGCCCATTAGTACCAACTGAGCATCACAGCCTACCTGAGTATTGCTGCTGACCAGAAGACCATGGCTACTTCCATCAGGATAACACACCATGTCATAAAGCACCAATCATCTCAGACTGGTTTCTTGGACAATGAGTTCACTGAACTGGAATGACTCCACAGCCACCAGATCCAACAGAAACCTTTGGGATGTGGTGGGAGATTCATGTCATGGATCTGCAGCATCTATCAGGTCAATATGGACCCGATTCTCTGAGGAATGTTTCCAGTACCATGAAGGATTAAGGAAGTAAAGGGTCCAACCCGGTACTATCAGGGTGTACCTAATAAAGTGGCCGGTGAATGTATAGATGCAGCAGCATAGATCTGCTGCGTGGAGAAGATCTCAAAACCAGCAGCTAACAACCAAAGTATATAATTAATAAATGACATACAAACAATTTAAGAAAAGACATGTAAAAAGGATAAACTTAGGTAAGAAATAACAGAATTAAGACAAAACTGATTCAGATTAAAACCCAAAGAATGAAACTGAGACTTTTAAGTGGTTTTAAAAATGTCTAATGTTTGAGTGGACCTGATATAAAGAGACAGTTTGTTCATAAATTTATTTTATCCAGAGCTGGTGTCAGTTAGATCAGAAATATATGAGAACTGAACAAACCTATTGTTCATTTTTTGACTCATGCAATGACTGTCCAATGAGAGAATCTATGAAACACTGTTGATATTTAATGTTTTCACACAGAGAGAGGGACGAAACTACAGATGACCATCAACTCGGACCAAATCAAAGAAAGTGACTCTCCTGACCCCTTAATCCAGCAAAGCATAACGGACAACAAACTAAACAGCATGAATGAACAAAAAGAAACAAACGATCCTAACCTGAAATTCTTAAACAAGTCAAGTTACTGGAAAACCTAAACATGTCCTTTATTTTCCTGAAAGAGTGGCTTGAACAAGCACATTGAAACACTAGCAGAGCAGATGTCTTCAGTTCATCAGCTCTTCTGGTGCTGCTGTGACCCAATCTGTAAAAATCTGTGTGCCAGAAAAATTCAACCAAAACTTGAAGACATCTGACAAATATGTTTCCAAATAATCTTAACAAAGGCGCATGTTTAATTTTTAACCTAAAGAAAACAAACAGCTTCAATCATGAATTAACTCATTATTTTCTTTGAACAGAATTCATAAAACCATTAAGAAACATGATTCTGTTCAATAATCAGAGCTGATGACTGTGTGCAAATATATGTCAGCCAAATCCAGGTGAAGGTGTTGATTTTTACAGGAACGGTTTCAGAAGGTTTAAGACAGAATATGCTGCACAGCTTACTGAGCAAAGCAAACCTTTTAGAGAAGTTAGAGGAATATAATGCCAGATATTAAGCATTTAAATGTATTTTCAGTTACTTTTTCAATAAGTTTACCAGTTTTAATAAGCACAGACAAAGTTGTGGTCACTGTGTCATGAACACTTTTAGCACCTCTACTGTATTAAAGGCCATTTTAGTTTTTGAAGTTCAGTAAATATAAATCCTGTTGAATGTTGTAACATAAACCTAACAGAGCCATCACTCCTACCTAAATATATTCTTAGCTTAAAACAAAAAAAAAAATCATTGCCTGGTTCCCAAACTAGTGAGAGAAGTTCAAACCAATACATTTTCTGCATTATGCATTGATTGTTCGTTAGTTTAAAACATTAATGACCTGCTGTACATCAGGCTCTGGACGTTTTTAGCTCTCGCCAGCGAGCGTCTGAGTGCGGACTGTCTGAAGGGTCAGTGTGGTTGATGTTTGCCTTTTCTTTAAGGGCTGCATGTTTTCAATGCTCCAGCATATCCACTGGATGAACGGTTTGAATCTTACCCATTCAGTTCTCCAGAGGCCTTGTAATAAAATACTCAGGTGTGTAAAGTTAGAGGGGAATGATTATGGACGATGTCGGCCTTAAAGACTAACTTTGGACGCGTCTGGAAGAAATGCTGGAGTCAAAAGTAACGAACATGAAACTTGTATTTTTATGACCTATCGCATCTTTTTTCTCAGGGATTTATTTACAAGGGAGGAATCACTTGCTGCACTTGAGCCAGTTTGACATTTTTAGAAAGAAAAGCTGGTGACTATTTTTTGTAAATGTTTTTTATTGTAGGAACATATGTATATTTTTATATTTATCTTTACATTATTGTTACTTATTGTAAAGTCTGACATTTGTCATACATGAACTTGAGGAAAAAAGAATGCTATGATTAGCATTATGATGTTATATTATTGCTGACAGTATGCACATGAACCCCTGTCAGGTAAAGTGTTTGGTTGACTGCTCTATTTAAAAACTGTTTATTCCCAATTATTGATGTTTATTTAATTGTGATACTGTATTAATAATGTATTTGTTCATCCATGGTGCTGGTACACATCCAAAGGACACATCCTTTGTGTCCATTTGTTGATGTTTGTTATGTATATGTGTTATTAAGCTGCAGGTTTCTCTCATGTATTTGTTTCTACACAAATGCAAATGAACAAGAATAAATAAAATAAACATTTGGATAAAGTTGCATTTCAAAAGTCAATATATTTTCTCTGGATTTTCAGTTATAGATGGAAACAGCTGAACACAGAACTACAAGTTCCAGATATTTAGCATGATCAGCAAGTTACAACTGATGCAACACCGTAACGTTCATGTAAGGTTATGGTGTTGATGTTCTGCCTGATGCTCTGCTTGATACCATCAGTGTATTCAGACAGTTTGAATTCACTTTTTCCATCTTGAAGCTTGACTATTTGTGCTTCCCATTTGGTCTGGATGTCAAACACAATCTGCCTGCCTCCTGAATAACTTTCCGTTTTTCCACCTGCCTGTCTCTGTTGTTGAAAGCGAGATGCTAACACTCACAAATGAAATCCAGGGCAATCCAGGGTGTTGTGTGTGTGTGTGTTAGCATCTTGTGGTATTTGTAGGCCTGCATTCTCCCATGTGAAGATGGTCTAATTAAAGTACAGATCCACTATGCCTGACAAACACCTGCTGACCTGCATAAGGCTCATCCTGCCACGACTGAGAAAGTGTTAGAACTTCCTCTAAACCAGGTTTAGAGGAAACTGTATTAGTATTAGTTTTTAGTTTCATTTTAAAGCAGTTTCTGTCACTTATGTCAATGAAGATGTTTTAATCTTTGTTGCAAGTGGTAGCTTCAAGTCTGCTGCTTTCTCTCAGAGAAAATGTAGAAAATCTAGCTCTCTGGCACCCTTTCTCCAGACATTTGTGCTGTATTGGATTTAGACTTAGACTTGTACTTTATTGATCCCTTGGGAAGACTCCATCAGGAAATTAAAGTTACCAGCAGCTCACAGGCAAAAAGTGGCACACAGTAAGCATACGCAAAAGAATACAAAAAAATACAAATTAAATACAATACACAGTAAATTAACCCTCAATAAAGAACCATTCCTAGTTGGAATAGTTTGTACAGTTTGTTCTGTGAACCTTCATTTTCAGAAAGGAAATGCATGTATCCGACACCTTCAGTAGCCTCTGCAGATCTTTGCTTCTCACAAAGGAAGTGAAAAGCGTGTTTTTCAGTCAGTCGACGGTCAGACAGGATGCTGGTAACAGAGTTCTGCCTGATGCTGAGTGAGTAAAAACATTTTCCATCCTTTTGTCTGTTTGTAATCTCTCATTATGTCCTAAACTGATTGTATGTTTTTCTGATAAAACTGTATACAAATATTTTCCAGCACATTTTCTTTTTTCCTCTCAATGTTCACGTTGATTTTCTAGAGCAGTTTCGTTTCATACTGTCTGTGCAACTTCCTCTGTTATTTTTTCTGTTTCAACTGCTCACCATTTTTTATTTGTTGATTTCTTCAGTTTTGTCTTATAGTCAATGAGTTTTGCTCTGTTTTTTGTTCCTAATGCGACATTGTGAGTTTGAATTCCACTTCATCCTCTCATCAGTTCTCTATTTCGATCAATTAGTTTTTGTGTCTAAAATGATATTTTCCTGAATGTATTGCTGATGTGAGCCGTCTGATCCGCCTCAGCCTGCCTCCAGGTCAGCCCTGACCGCTCCCAGTTCTTCCGGTACGACTCAGTCGCCCTGAGCTGCAAGGATCCGATCAACTCCACCGGCTGGAAGGTGAAGAGAAGAACTTCAGACGGCGGGGTCAGGCCGTGCAACTCCGGCTGGGGCTACCCCTCGGTGGCGTCCACCTGCACCATTGGCAACACCTACCCCACCGACACGGGGGTCTACTGGTGTGAGCTGGACACAGGGGAGCGAAGCAATGAGGTCAACATCACCATCACAGGTACAGTGGATGTTTAGAAATAAATTCTAGAAATCTGTCAGTTTGGGTTTTGATGACCTTCTGCAAAATGGCGACTGTTTTGATCCTTATTTGAAGCTTATTTTGTCTTTTCTGTGCCAAAAAAATTCAAACTGTGTTTTTTATACGTTTTCGATCATTTGGCTTTTATTAAAAAGATGACTGAAAGCACATGAATGAAACTAACCTGTTATTGTGCATATTATGCATACAATACAACAGTCTGACCATTATTTTCTTCTAACACAGTTTACCTTTCTGATGTTGCTGTTAAACATTTTCACTTCCTGTTTCTTGTTAGCCGTAAACTTGATTGGAACGAAGTGCAACAAAAGTGGAAAATTACCTACAGAAATGTCCAAACGAAGCCACAAAAGTAAAATCAAAGAACAAAATGTAGATATGGCCTGGATCTGGAGTTCCCCTAGGTTCCATTTTGGAGCCCCTCATTTTTCTACTAGTTCTAATAAATAAATTATGCAGATGATGTACAGCTCTACTTTACAATGTCACCAGGTAATTATGAACCCATTAAAGCTTTGAGTAGATCAGTAGAACAAATTAAAGTCTGGATGTGGAATAACTTTATTCAATTTTCTCAAGTTGTTATTTTTGGATGTAGAGTCAACAGAGAGCTTCAGTTATTACATCCGGAAACTAGAAATCTAGCCTAAAATCACAATGTAGCGATGGACTTTAAGAGCCACATAAAGACGGTTACAAAGTCAACCTTCTGTCACCTGGAGATAGAAGGTTAATTTTCCAGAATTAAAGGATTAATGTTCTAGAAAGATATAGAAAAACTCATCCATCCATGCATCTATCTATCTATTTTTCCTTCTTTCCTTCCTTCCTTCCTTCCTTCAGGATTCAGTTTTTATACTTCTTGAGAGTTGCCTTTGACTAAAAGCATGTTGAACATTTATTAATATTATTGCCTTCCTGTATTTTCTCACTTTAAAGTAAGGATTCTTGTTGTTTTATGTTTTCTTCTTGTGCTCCAAACCCAGATTGTTACAAGTAAAAAAAAAAACTGTGCTGTAGCTTTAAATTAAAAACTACTTCAGCCAAAGTGACTGCATAGTGGATCTGAAATATTAAGGCTCAAATACAAAAACCTATTTTCCCCCAAAGATCGCACAGTGATTCTGGAGAGTCCTGCCATGCCGGTGTCAGAAGGAGCTGATGCGGTCCTGTACTGTAAAGCTGAGACCAACCCCTCCAAACACAAATACAACTTCTTCAAAGATGGCCGCCTCATCAGGAGCAACTGCTCAGGAGAGATGACCATTCTCAGCGCTTCCAAATCCGATGAGGGGCTCTACACCTGCAGCGCCGCAGGGCTTGGAGAATCAGAAAGCAGCTGGCTGACGGTTTTCAGTGACCAAAACAATCAAGACATCCAATTGAGTGAGGAGAATCCTTCATATCCCTGCAGCATTTGATAGATTTATTAGACCTCCATTTCAGAGCTGTCTGAAGTCAGATCATTTCCATAAAATATTTTTTACATAAACACCATCACTTGAATTTAAAAAGAAAATATTGTTTTTATCTACAGCATCTCTGTCACCAGCATCTTCAGCTTTGCCCACAGCCCCAGTTTCATTTCCTGGTTCCAGACTGTTGTGTCACCTCATAGTGGGAATACCTTACCTGTTGTCCACCATCCTACTGGGACTCATATACAGAGACAGGAGGAGAGGTAAAGCTGTCTGTCCTCGACGTCTTATGTTCTCATTTCTACTCAGAAACTTTTAAAATCTGAAAAGAAAAAATTAGAATTATAATCAACCTATGGAGAAACTGGACAGTATTTATGCATACAGTGTAGCCATTAAATAGAAATCACAAAGATTTTAATTTCACCCCCCCTCTGGGTCTAATTTCTTCCGTGTTTTTAAATCACAACTATAGACAAACAAATTAAGGAAACCAGACAGCAGGAGGTGTTGCTGTAGGGAATTAATTAGGTTAATTATAGTTATATACATACTGTATACATAGTAGTGATGTCACGGTTGGTATTGTAACAGTGTGTTTTGTGTTAGCTCACTTTGGAGGAAGTGGCTAGCTGTAGCTGAAGTCGCTGATTTATAAAGGCTTAAGGCAGCGACCACAGAATCAATGAACCTTTGTTTGAAGATAACCTTTCAGTTTATTAATAAAGAAACAGCTTTTAAATCATTTTAGCACATAGTGAGAAAACTTTCAAATTATTTGCTTTTGTTAAAGGGATATTTAGGAACAGGAGGCTTATTAATTAAGATTAAATGATGCCAAATCTATTTTAAAAAGCTTGAGTAGGGTTTTTGTTGTTGCTAAATGACATTAAATATATTTTATATATAAATCTTCCTGTTTATCAACGACATTCCTACAAACAAAACAATACACAAACTATTTTGAGACTGTGTTTTACAACTGAAAACATAAAATGTGTAGATCTAATCACTAGTGTTTTTTTTTTTTTTTTTTTTTACAGCTACTCAGGTAGTTGCAGCCCAGAGGAAAAATCTTGATGTTATCATGGAAAGGATTGTGTGAGTAATCTCCAGAAGCCGCTGACCTCAGAGAAGATGATGTGCGTCCGACCACATCGGTTCAGAGAAATGTCTCCAGCATTCAGGAAAAAACAAATCGAGATTTCTTTGGTGCTCAAGTAGATGTATTTATTTTATGAGAAGTTTCAACAGGAGAGGACAGTTTTGTCTTTAAATCTAGAGTTTTGTTTTACAGTGAAGCAGAATCAAGATGCATAAGTGGTGACTGTGAAGAGGAAGTGGAAATGTCACTGATGTTTGCTTTTAAAAGGTGCCTGTGGTTTTGGCTGCAAAGTCACTGTCATCAGCTTTTTGTCCGGCCTTTGCTTAAAAGGCTGGGGGTGTTTTCTTGGTGGACTTTTCTGTGGTGGTGTGTGTGTGTGTGTGTGTGTGTGTGTGTGTGTGTGTGTGTGTGTGTGTGTGTGTGTGTGTGTGTGTGTGTGTGTGTGTGTGTGTGTGTGTGTGTGTGTGCGTGTGTGTGTGTGTGTGTACTTGTTTAGGACCATATATGGGACATTACCGACTTTGTGAAGACAGATGGGCATTAAGGGGACCAAACCTCATCTTAACATGGTGGACTTCTTTGTAAGGCATAGGTTTAGATTTAAGTTGGGAATTAAGTTTTGATAAAGGTTATTTTTAATTACATACTAGTAATAGGTTAGAAAGTAAAAGGTTAGAGTAATAGGTTGGATTAAGCGTAAGTGCAGTTAATAAAATAAACAAAAAACAATACAAACTCCTCATTTGGGTAGAAATAGAAACTTGTGTGTGTCAGTAAACAGTTTTTGAGGTTGCCTTATCCTCCTCCACATGCAATTTGTTGTTCTTTATGTCCTCATTTGGTACTTTAGTAGGGCAGTTGTGGTTAGATTAATGGAAATGATGTACAAGTTGTTTCTCAGAAAAAAGGATGCTGTCCTAATTTTATGCCCACAAGTCAGAATTTGGATGAAAAACCCATACTAGGTTAATGGTTAACACTTACAGTTTATGCAAACAAAAACAACCAGGCTTGGGTTTGTCCAGTTTATTTTAATTACCTACAGATTCTGAACTCCAGCAGAGTTCAGAGTCGGTATACAAACATTCATAAAAGACATTAAGTGTTCCCTGATTTAATGTAATTGGAAAGTCACAGAATTGGCAACAGATGGGCGACCATTGTTTAATGAAAATGAGCAACCATGACCTGCTGGACGGGTATTTCAGTCAAATCTCTGTCATGGCAGATCAGAGGAGGACAGTGGTTGATCTATTGACCTCTGCTGATTTATCATCACCTCTAGTGTTTGTGGCATTTGTCTTAATGATGCAACATTACAGTTATTATAAAGAAGCTAACTCCCTCAATGACAGGAAAACCAGTGACTCTTGTGCAGATCAGAACCAGGATGTGTGTACAGTGTACAATGAACAGTGAAGATATTCAAATCATAAATATATGAAATATACTGAAGAAAAAGTATTGTTTTATTAAAGTGTACTACAAGAACATTTACTAAGGATCAGAATTGTGATTCCAAGCAGTCACACTGAGGAAATCAGAAAACAATGACAAAAACACCAGATAATGTTTATCAGTAGAGCTACAATCTGCAGCAGCTGTAGATAATCTAAACTAGAGTTGGTTTGTGTTTCTGTGTTTTAGTAACTTAAGCAGGGCTTGATAAGGAAGAAATACTCACTGCAAAAACGGTTCTCGGAACCACTGGTCAGAGCCATCATGGAGAAAACCATCAGGAACACAGCCGACAACTTCATGATGGAGATGAAGTGATGGGGCAAGCTGAAGGCAAACTGAAATAAAGCATACGTGTTAATAAAATTCAAATATGTTGAAAAAAAGATGAGCAGAAATTTGTTCAGCGAACCTGATGAAGAGTGATCCGTGTTCTTAGCCAGCAAAGAGGACGGATGATTCTTCTACAAGGCTACAATGTAGCCTTCACTGCAGAATCACTAGATATTTATAGAGCTTCTAGTCTTGATACAACATGAGGAAATGATACTGACAAACATTGCACAGAATTGCATAACCAGGTCGTTCATACTTTCATTAGTTCCAGTGCAATAAAATGTCACTTGAAATGAAATTTTTGGTGATTCAATGAGAGCAACTCCAGAACAAAGTAAAGACTAAAATACATCAGCAGGTGATATAAAGCAACTTTTCTCTGCTTTTATGAGCAAAGAACCATCAGACTAGAACTTGTGTGATATTGATATTTATATTGTAATAACTAGCATATGATAGTGTTAGAAATAATTCAGGAAACAGAGCACAACAAACACACATAATAAACCATCTTGTTTTGATTCTTCAGTTTTATTTTTGCTCAGCCAAAGAATAGAAGAAAGTTTTGCATAGAAGATTCTTTCTTATAACTCATTCAGTCTGACTTTATTACAGAGAGACAATCCAGCTGCTGTTTGCTTGTCGCTTCATTGCTTAGGTTGCATTAAAGACAGAAATTAAAGAAAGTAAAGAATCAGAAATATCTTTAGGGTTTTCTATGAAGTTGCAAAAAGGCAGGAAAACATAAACAGCAGCTCTGATTCTCCACTGGTTCTGTTCAACACATCAGGCCTTTTTAGTAACTTCACTGTCTGCGTTTCTTGATGCAGACAGAAGGCAGCTTGTAATGACACTCCACGTCATCCCAGCATTTTTCATCTAAAAGCAAGAGGACAAATTATCAGTCAAGCATCACGTAGTGAAAACCCAGATATGATCGATGCAGGATTATGAAAACGATTGGAAAGGATGATGAAATGAATCATCTTGCCACAAAAAATAAATATAAACTCCTGCTGTGGAAAACATACAGAATTTTTATCTTGTCTGAAGTTAAATAAGTTCAAACTTCTCTTTTTAAGATAGTTAAAGTTACTAGAATAATTTATTTTCAGTAAATGTAAACTAAACCATTTGAGAAACCAGTTCTGTAATTTTCTTCAAATTCAGAAGTTTACTTATCCCCAAAACTGAGCAAAATGTATGAAAACATCAGATTTAACTTAAGATGAGCGTTTACAAAAATGTTTACATGGAGAGTAAATAAGCTTTTCACCCACAAGTCCATTCATCAAGTGAAAAATCAGATGTACGATATTTTCTTTTACCTGAAAAGTTCATCTGCATACAGTGCTGGTTGCCTCCACCATTATTAGGCTCTCCTCGACACCAGTTTGTGAAGCTCACAGGACAATCACCTCTCCACCACCAGGATCCCTCCTACAATAGTGTTCAGCAGATTACACATTTCAGTCAGTGTTTCACAAAATACTAACATAAAGTGTACTGGCAGAAATGTTGCGGTTTTATTACTTTTAGATTTGAGCGCTGCATTTGACACTTTTGATCATCAGATTCTTTTAAACAGATTAAAACATTGTGTTGGCCTGAGAGGCCCAGTATTTGAATGGTTCAAATCTTATTTAGAAAACAGAACTTTCACAGTTAATCTTGACCAATGCTTTTCTTGGGCCAAACCTTGAAAGTATGGCGTCCCCCAAGGCTCAATTTTAGGTCCCATTTTTTCATTTTATATTTATTTCATCTAGGTCAGATTTTCCATGAATTTAACGTTTCCTTTCATTGCTTTGCAGATGACGTCCAGATTTATATGCCCCTTAAACTAAAAAATGGAAAAAATGAATCTCTTCAGCTATTGACAGATTGTTTGGCAGAAGTTAAATCTTGGATGGGACAAAACCTTCTTCACCTAAATCAAAGAAAAACTCAAGTTATATTATTTGGCCAAAGTCTTTACACTACAAAACCAGATCAGATTCTGGGTTCTTTGGCTCAATTTCGTGAGACCTTTTGATAGCTGTTTAAAGCTCGATAAACAAGTTAGTTCTGTCGTTAAATCTAGTTTTTATCACCTACGGATTTTAGCAAAAATCAAATCTTATTTTTGTTTTGAGGACTTTGAAGGACTGATCCATGCCTTCATTACCACTCGTCTGGATTATTGTAATTCTTTATATAGTGGCATGGTTAAATCACAGATTCATCGACTTCAAATGATCCAGAATGCAGCGGCACAGCTTCTTACAGGAACCAGGAAGCATGACCATATAAGGCCTATGCTGGTCAATTTACACTGGCTGCCTGTTATGTATAGAATAGATTTTAAGATTCTTTTATTAACTTATAAAGTTTTAAATGGGTTATCTCCCCCTTATCTTCAGGATCTTTTAAAATTTCAGTCTGTGTCCAGAACCCTCAGATCAAACAATCAGCTTTTACTTACAGTCCCTCGGACCCGACTAAGGAAAGGAGATCGGGCTTTTTCTGTTGTTGCTCCTAATTTATGGAACAATTTGCCTTTTCAGATTAGATCTGCTAGCAGCCTGGATCATTTTAAATCGCTTCTCAAAACTCATTTTTATTCGTTGGCTTTTAACTGAAGCAATTTTTTGATATTCTGTTTTTATCTATTTGTGTTACACGTTGTTCCTGTGCAGCACTTTGGTGCAGTTTTATACCTGTTTTAAAGTACTATATAAATAAATTTGACATTGACATTGACAGAAATACCTTCTCTGCATTACAGCCTCCCAGCCATGCTCGTTCATCTCTACCAGTTTTCTCACGTATCAGTTTCTGAACCTCGCCGTAGTAGTACATGCTATAAATTGATGCAAGGGTTGCTCCCATGGCCTGACAGTTTATCTACAGAAAAACAGACAGGAGTGTTTAATGAGAATAGTGAAGAACAGTAAATAGTTCTTTTATCAATTTACTGAGTTGGGTTTTCTTAATTGAGAACAGTGAAATAAAAGATATCAAAAGAAATTAAGAGAAATCTTTTTGGGAAATCACCTCAGCTTCAGGCCAAATCATGGGTGTGGCAACATAGTGATAGCAGAGTTGTCTGACTTTCCTCCAGCCACTCGGACAGGGTTCCGGAAAAAATGTAAAATATGGCACTGATGACAAACAAAATTCCAGTCAAAAGGTTTATCTCAGTTTTCTGGCTGATCAACAATTAAAAAGTTTGACCTTCTGATTTTAGCTAAAACTGCTTTTTTTGTGTTAGGAACATTATCTAAGTACATTTTCTTTGATTTGAATGGTTATGTTTTCATATTATTATTCTGTGTGTTGTTTTCTTGACTCCTTTCCTTTATGGTATTCTCTTAACTGCTTATCTAAGTGCTTTTCCTTAAGGGTTAGAGATGTTTTACACATTCCTGTATCACAAGCTGCTTTGATCTTTATCTGTATCCTGAAAGCAATGTTCCCTCTAAGCTGCGCGCCTGCGCAATCGCGCATTGCTCACATATTCTCAGCGCACAAGAAAATCTATGTAGCGCATAAAATAAAGTCCAACGTAAAGTGGACATTGAGCTCAGACATCAGTTTTGACGATGGACCAATAATTTTTTTTTTCCGTACTAGTTTGCGATCGAACTCAGTGAGTGACAGGAATCCATCCAATGATACGATACGGTTCACTTTTGCTATGCAGCCAATCAGCGCATGCTGATTGGCTGTGTGTACGTGGGTTACGTGCCTTGGTCATATGCGCCGTGCAGGTGAGAATAGTGCGGTAGAGTTAAGAAACGTGAAAGCCATCACCTTATCATGTCTACGTGGGACATCCACTCACCAAGCCAAAGTAAAAAAAAAAAGAAATGCACTTCTTCTAAGATCAAATGGAATCAAATCAAATGAAAAGAACGATGTGCATTTGATAATGAAATGTTGAGTTCAGACTTTTGACTATGGATAAGCAGACATTTGTACACTGGCAGAGAAGTATGAGGCCATTCTCCTCCACCCACAGATTATGGAGGCCGTTAACAGTCAATATGCTGAATTCAAGTACATAAAGCAAGAAGCAGACTGACCATCAACCTGGACAAAGTGAACAACCACTGGAGAAGTGAGAAGACGTGAGAAGGGCAGACGTGAAAAAAACTGTAATTAAATATTTTACGAGAATTTATACTGCATCACAAGCTACAGAAAGCATTTCATTGTGCAAAATGTGAATGTTTTAATATGAACAAACTTTTATATCTGAAAGGTGTAATGTCTCATTTCTCACCCTGGCTGAAGCAGGACTCTTACTTATAGCAAACGAATGAAAATTGCTGATGTAATTTGATTTTTTTAATAAGCAATGCAACTTTCTATGATCCCAGATTTATGACACTTGTGCGTGGCCACGCCGTGTACACTGATGATGCTCACAGTGGTCCTCAGTGTGCCCAGGAAGCTTGTGTGTATGCCCAGACACATGAATAATTAGAGGGAACATTGCCTGAGAGTGGTCATCCTTGTGTCCTAACAATGGGATATCAACGGAAGACTTCCAGAACATCCTGTGGGATAGTGTATTGGTCAATGGTTTGCATGAATGTGTGAAAAAGTCTACTTCTTTGTCTATTGACATAATAAAAGGCAGTTGGGGACTGAGAGCCTGCGGAGTTGATCCCAGACAGAGTTTTGCAGCGGTTCTCCGGGTCGGGCTCTGCTCCCCTCTTCTGCAGAAAAGTAATTTGTGTCTTTGGTTGATTCTTGCAGGTTGGGGAACAACATAAACCCAACATTTTGCCTAAAAACATATGTTTTTTTTTGTTTTTTTGGGGGCTTTTTTGCTAAATATAGTTAGAAAGTCACAGAATTGGCAACCGATGGGCGACCATTGTTTAATGAAAATGAGCAACCATGACCTGCTGGACGGGTATTTCAGTCAAATCTCTGTCATGGCAGATCAGAGGAGGACAGTGGTTGATCTATTGACCTCTGCTGATTTATCATCACCTCTAGTGTTTGTGGCATTCGTCTTCATGATGCAACATTACAGTTATTATAAAGAAGCTAACTCCCTCAATGACAGGAAAACCAGTGACTCTTGTGCAGATCAGAACCAGGATGTGTGTACAGTGTACAATGAACAGTGAAGACATTCAAATCATAAATATATGAAATATACTGAAGAAAAAGTATTGTTTTATTAAAGTGTACTACAAGAAGATGTGTCACATTTACTAAGGATCAGAATTGTGATTCCAAGCAGTCACACTGAGGAAATCAGAAAACAATGACATACACACCAGATAATGTTTATCAGTAGAGCTACAATCTGGAGCAGCTGTAGATAATCTAAACTAGAGTTGGTTTGTGTTTCTGTGTTTTAGTAACTTAAGCAGGGCTTGATAAGGAATAAATACTCACTGCAAAAAAGGTACTGGATACCACTGGTCAGAGCCATCATGGAGAAAACCATCAGGAACACAGCCGACAACTTCATGATGGAGATGAAGTGATGGGGCAAGCTGAAGGCAAACTGAAATAAAGCATACGTGTTAATAAAATTCAAACATGTTGGTAAAAAAGATGAGCAGAAATTTGTTCAGCGAACCTGATGAAGAGTGATCCGTGTTCTTAGCCAGCAAAGAGGACGGATGATTCTTCTACAAGGCTACAATGTAGCCTTCACTGCAGAATCACTAGATATTTATAGAGCTTCTAGTCTTGATACAACATGAGGAAATGATACTGACAAACATTGCACAGAATTGCATAACCAGGTCATTCATACTTTCATTAGTTCCAGTGCAATAAAATGTCACTTGAAATGAAATTTTTGGTGATTCAATGAGAGCAGTGTTAGAAATAATTCAGGAAACAGAGCACAACAAATACACATAATAAACCGTCTTGTTTTGATTCTTCAAAGTTTTATTTTTGCTCAGCCAAAGAATAGAAGAAAGTTTTGCATAGAAGATTCTTTCTTAAAACTTATTCAGTCTGACTTTATTACAGAGAGACAATCCAGCTGCTGTTTGCTTTTCGCTTCATTGCTTAGGTTGCATTAAAGAAAGAAGTTATAGAAAGTTGAGAAGCAGAAATATCTTTAGGGTCTTCTATGAAGATGCAAAAAGGCAGAAAAATATAAACAGCAGCTCTGATCCTCCACTGGTTCTGTTCAACACATCAGGCCTTTTTAGTAACTTCACAGTCTGCTTTTCTTGATGCAGACAGAAGGCAGCTTGTAATGACGCTCCAGGTCATCCCAGCATTTTTCAGCTAAAAGCAAGAGGACAAATTATCAGTCGAGCATCACGTAGTGAAAACCCTGAGATGATCGATGCAGGATTATGAAAACGATTGGAAAGGATGATGAAATGAATCATCTTGCCACAAAAAATGAATATAAACTCCTGCTGTGGAAAACATACAGAATTTTTATCTTGTCTGAAGTTAAATAAGTTCAAACTTCTCTTTTTTAGGTCAGTTAAAGTTACTAGAATAATTTATTTTTAGTAAATGCCAGAAAACTAAACCATTTGAGAAACCAGTTCTGTAATTTTCTTCAAATTCAGAAGTTTACTTATCCCCAAAACTGAGCAAAATGTATGAAAACATCGGATTTAACTTAATCAATGGACTATCTCAAGCTGGAAACAAGAAACTGCTGTGCCATTGTCCTCACTGAAACATGGCTCAGTGCATCGGTCCCAGATAGCGCAGTTAGCCTGGACGGCTAACAACATTCAGAGCCGACAGAAGCGGTGCTCTCACAGGTAAAACCCGAGGGGGTGGCGTTTGCATCTACACGAAGAACAGCTGGTGTAACAACGCTTCCAGGGTCTCCAGTCACTGCTCTATAGACATTGAACTCCTGACTGTGAGATGTCGACCCTTTTATCTGCCACGTGAATTCACCAGCGTCACCATTGTTGCTGTTTACATCCCACCCAGCGCCAACACAAAGCAAGCCCTCAGTGTTCTCTACAACAACATCACGGACATGCAAGCCACACAACCGGAAGGTGTTTTTATTGTTGCTGGCGACTTCAACCAGGCCAACATGAAGACCGTGCTTCCAAACTTTCACCAACATGTGGACTTTGCTACTAGAGGGGAGAACACTCTGGACCTTGTCTACACCAACATAAAGAAGGCCTACAGAGCAGCCCCCCGCCCCCACCTGGGCTCCTCAGACCATCTCTCTGTCATGCTAATTCCTGCATACCAGCCCCGGCTCATCAGAGAGAGACCTGCAGTGAAGAAGGTGAGAGTATGGCCTGAGGGTGCCATGTCTGCACTGCAGGACTGTTTTGAGTGCACTGAATGGGGCATCTTCAAGGAGGCAGCAACAGACAACCAGCGCACCAACGTGGAGGAGTATGCTGCATCTGTATCTGACTATATCAGTTGGTGCAAAGAGACAGCAACAAAAACAATAGTCACTCGGGCAAACAAGAAACCTTGGATGACCAAGGAGGTGGGAACGAACCTGAGAGAACGCAATGCTGCTTTCAGATCTGGTGATGCTGCGGCTCTCAGGTCTGCGATGGTCAACCTGAACCGGGCCATCAGAGACGCGAAGCGAGCCCACAGCCGGAAAATCCAGGGTCTCTTCCAGGACTCCAACAACACCAGGAAACTGTGGCAGGGCATCCAGTCTATCACAGACTACAAACCCACACCCCCATCCTGCCAGACCGACACTGGCTTCCTCAACGAGCTCAACAACTTCTTCAGAAGATTTGAGGAGCTGAACAACAACCCTGCGAGGAAAGCGACACCACACCCCGATGAACAGGCGCTCAGACTAGAATTATCAGCAGTGCGGAAGGTTCTGAGGAAGGTCAACGCGCGGAAAGCTGCAGGTCCGGACAACATTCCAGGTCTGCTAATCAAGGAATGCTCGGACCAGCTGGCCCACGTGCTCACGGACATCTTCAACACGTTCCTGGACCAGGCTGTCGTCCCACGGTGCTTCAAGTCTGCCACTGTCGTTCCGGTCCCGAAGTCAACCACCATCACATGCCTTAACGACTTCCGCTCCGTCGCACTGACATCCACCATCATGAAGTGCTTCGAAAGACTTGTTAAGGACCACATCATCTCCACGCTCCCCCCATCACACGACCCTTTCCAGTTTGCATACCAGTCCAAGCGCAGTGCTGAGGATGCAGTCTCCACTGCTCTCCACCTGAGCCTGGAGCATCTGGAGGAGAAGAACACCCACATGCGGATGCTGTTCCTGGACCTCAGCTCAGCGTTCAACACGATCATCCCCCAAGACCTGGTGGGCAAACTGGGCCCCTTAGGAATTAACACCCCCCTCTGCAACTGGCCGCTGGACTTCCTCACTGACAGAACCCCCCTTCAGACCTTCTACAAAGGGACCATTGAGAGCCTACTGACCAGCTACATCTCCATCTGGTCTGGGAGCTGCAGGGCCTCTGACTGGAAGTCTCTACAGAGGGTGGTGAGGACAGGGGAGAAGATCACGGGGCTCTGCTCCCCTGCATCAAGGACATCGCAGAGAGGCGCTGCCTATCTCGCGCTCACCAGATCCTCTCCGACCCCACCCACCCCAACCATGGACTGTTTTCCCCCCTGGCGTCTGGAAGAAGGTTCCGCAGCATTTTGTGCAGAACAACCAGACTACTGAACAGTTTTTTCCCCTGGACCATCACACTGCTTAACGCCACGTAACACCCCTCCACACACACACACACACACACACACAAACCAAATCACCCCCCCTCCCACACCCCCCTCCATGGACATGGTCAATACATGCACTTTAGTTTTTCTCACAACACTGAACCTGTGTATTCTATGGCACTTGTATTGTATTTATTTATTTATTGTGTAGCATAAGGTGTTAGCTCTGTTACACTGGTAGCCAAGTAACGACATTTTGTTGTCAAGACTCACCTTGTGTTTTTTTGTACAATGACAATAAAGGAAGTCTAAGTCTATGATGAGCGTTTACAAAAATGTTTACATGGAGAGTAAATAAGCTTTTCACCCACAAGTCCATTCATCAAGTGAAAAATCAGACGTGCGATATTTTCTTTTACCTGACATGTTCCTCTGCATACAGTGCTGGTTGAATCCACCATTATTAGGCTCTCCTTGACACCAGTATGTGAACGTCACAGGAAATTCATCGCTCCACCACCAGGATCCCTCCTAGAATAGTGTTCAGCAGATTACACATTTCAGTCAGTGTTACACAAAATACTAACATAAAGTTGATAAGGAATAAATACTCACTAAAATAGATGTACCTGAAACCACTGGTAAAAGCCATCATGGAGAAAACCATCAGGAACACAGCCGACAACTTCATGATGGAGATCAAGTGATGGGGCAAGCTGAAGGCAAACTGAAATAAAGCATACGTGTTAATAAAATTCAAACATGTTAAAAAAGATGAGCAGAAATTTGTTCAGCGAACCTGATGAAGAGTGATTCGTGTTCTTAGCCAGCAAAATGTCATGTCCAGTGTTTCCCTGAGTCTCGTTGTCTCCTTGTTGTCCTGTCTCCCCATTAAATCTCCCCAGGTGTGTCCCATCTCCCTGATTAGCCCCTGTGTATTTAGTCCCTCATGTTTCCTATCTTCCTCGTCGGGTCCTTGTCGTTGTGACGTCTTCCTCGTCAGCTCCTGATGCTGTGCTGTGTGCACGTTCTCCTCTGTCGTTTTCTCTCGTAGTTCCTCGTAGTTCCTAGTAGTTCCCTCATTATTCAATGTAGTTATGCCTACCTGTTTCTCCACATGTATGACCTGTTGCTACCGGGATGAGCATCAGCTACGCTCTAACTTGCTGCCAGGCCGCGAACTCTGCAACTATTTTATTTTTGGATTATTCATTGTTTATTTTTGGACTGTTTGTTATTTTGGACTGTCCCACTTCTGTTTGTGTTTTGGATTATTATTTATTAAACCATCCTCAACCTCATACCTGGGGTTTCTGCGATCACTCATTCCTTCCACACCTTAAAAAAACACAGCATTGTGACACAAAGAGGACGAATCATTCTTCTACAAGGCTACAATGTAGCTTTCACTGCAGAATCACTAGATATTTATAGAGCTTCTAATCTTGATACAACATGAGGAAATGATACTGACAAATATTGCACAGAATTGCATAACCAGGTCGTTCATACTTTCATTAGTTCCAGTGCAATAACATGTCACTTAAAATGAAATTTTTGGTGATTCAATGAGAGCAGCTCCAGAACAAAGTAAAGACTAAAATACATCAGCAGGTGATATAAAGCAACTTTTCTCTGTTTTTATGAGCAAAGAACCATCAGGTTTGACTAGAACTTGTTATAATGTGATATTTATATTGTAATAGCTAGCATATGATAGTGTTAGAAATAATTCAGGAAACAGAGCATGTCAAGAGAAGTGGAGTTTTGATGACTTTACTAAGTCCTTTGGGACAATTGAGGATGAAGAATCTGCAGAAGGTGTTGGACCCCCAGCATGGGAAAGGTCTGACCTCGAAGAGGGGGTGTCAAGAAAATCCGAGATAATCCCACTTCCCCATGCTGGAGATTTTAGTTAACAGTAACCACAAATAAAGTTACCTTTAAAATAAGTCACACAAATCACATCTAGATCCAACAGTAGAACCAGACTGCAATAAAATAAATCTGGTTGTGTGTGTTGTTTTGTCTCCTGCAAACTTAGCTTTAATTATACTTATTTATTTCTATCTAATCATAAGAAATCATAGTCAGAGAGAGAGATGAGACAGGAAGAGCAGGTTTCCTGGAAAAAGAGGAAGTAAGTTTTCAGCTTGTAGCTGTATAAAAATAGCTGAGACTATTCCTTGTTTAAAAGCATAAAAATTTTAAAGGATAAAATCTAAACATTTTGAGTAATTAGATAAGATTTAAAGTAAAGTATTTATATTAATATTGGTTTACTTATAACAATACTTACTGTAACTTGTGGAAAAACGTACAAGTAAGACAAGTAACTGTAACTTTGGTATCAAATAAGGAAAGACTAATAAGTTGTGGTTATCATAAAATTATAAATGAATGCTAAATTAAAGAAACTAAAAGGTTTATGAATGTGATTTTAACATTGAACTTGAAATGGTGTAAAACATGTAACTGCTATTAAAGATCACTGATGATGTGTTGGAGGTAGATAGTAGGTGAAAGGTCAGGGGTAAAATGGGGACAAACGGGAAAGCAGAGATGACCAAGACCTTATTAGGAGATAGCTTGTTGAACAGCTTACATGTGTCAGAGACATGGGAGGAACATTGAGCAACCCTGAGACATTAGCCAAGAAATCAGGACAAAATGTCTCTAAGACAGTGATGGATATGAGTTTATCTGTCCAAACATGTTACCCAATAAAGCACAGCAACAGTGTTAGCCAATGAAAATGCACTGAAAGCGGGTATAAACCCTATATAAGGGGAGAGCAAAAGAGGAATCTTTGGTTGGATCCTCCAGGCAGCTTCGAGTCAAGACTGAGACGGACAAAGAACTCTGCAGCTGAAGAAGAGCCGGGGCCACAGAGCCGAAGACTGTCCTGTGCACGGGGACCAACCCATCAGCCCCGCAACATGTGGCTTCAAATTGGACTTCTCTCATCGGCTGGGTTCAGACCCAAAGGACAAAGATGAAGATCAAGACAAAGACAAAGACCCAAGTCCTGTGTGACCTCACCATCGATGCAGAGATGAAAGCTCATCAGACCAACAGAGATCCCTGCCTTCATCAATCAACCTCCTCTTCCTCCTGCTGCAACACCTTCTTCATCATCGATCCAGTTCTGGGGTTCGAGACACCGAACTACGTCCATCTCTCTAAAAGGTTCCCTTTTTAGTTATTAGTATCAGCGTTAGGGAAAGACAGGCTGGATTATTGATTTTACTTATTTGATTATTTCTGCTACTTAATTAAGCTGTACTGACCCTTGCAAAATTGCTTTACCAATAAAATATTTCGCATAAAGAAAATCTAAAAGATGTTGTGGACATTCAATTAATGAGTCCCATCAAAGTTCTTTGATGGTAGTAAAATAGCTGTGATGTTTGATTCTGGGGAAGAAAACTAGGTAATGTTTTATAGGTTGCTTTAGCCCAAATTTAAAACAACATCCTTGGGACTCACCCGAGTCACTAAAACCAACCTGATTCAGTAACAAGTGCAAGTTGCAAAAAAGAGAAGGAGCGACCGTTAACAGATGTGCTCCTTGGAACTAGTTGGCTGTATGCTGCTCAGTCTGGCTAATTCACAGGGGGAAGAAGGGTGGGACATCTGGATGTAGGCCGTTAGTAGTCAGGCGAATCCTTTCTGGAAACCAGATTAAACAGAGTTTACTTCAGTCCTGGATAGGGTAAATCCCAGCAGATTTAGGAAACTCAATTTACCCGTTAGATGGAGAGCTGGAAGCACATCTCCCCTCTCAGAAGAGGAAGTAGTGACTGAGAGAATAGAGAGTGAAGGAGGGGGGAGCGGCAACGACAAGCACAACAAACACACATAATAAACCATCTTGTTTTGATTCTTCAAAGTTTTATTTTTGCTCAGCCAAAGAATAGCAGAAAGTTTTGCATAGAAGATTCTTTCTTATAACTCATTCAGTCTGACTTTATTACAGAGAGACAATCCAGCTGCTGTTTGCTTGTCACTTCATTGCTTAGGTTGCATTAAAGAGAGAAATGACAGGAAGTAGAGAAGCAGAAATATCTTTTGGGTTTTCTATGAAGATGCAAAAAGGCAGAAAAACAGAAACAGCAGCTCTGATCCTCCACTGGTTCTGTTCAACACATCAGGCCTTTTTAGTAACTTCACAGTTTTCAGAGTTTCTTGAAGCAGACAGAAGGCAGCTTGCGATTACACTCCACGTCATCCCAGCATTTTTCAACTAAAAGCAAGAGGACAAATTATCAGTCAAGCATCACGTAGTGAAAACCCTGAGATGATCGATGCAGGATTACGAAAATGATTGGAAAGGATGATGAAATGAATCATCTTCCCACAAAAAATGAATGTAAACTCCTACTGTCTGAAGTTAAATAAGTTCAAACTTCTCTTTTTTAGGTCAGTTAAAGTTACTAGAATAATTTATTTTTAGTAAATGCCAGAAAACTAAACCATTTGAGAAACCAGTTCTGTAATTTTCTTCAAATTCAGAAGTTTACTTATCCCCAAAACTGAGCAAAATGTATAACAACATCTGATTTAACTTAAGATGAGCGTTTAGAAAAATGTTTACATGGAGAGTAAATAAGCTTTTCACCCACAAGTCCATTCAAGTGAAAAATCAGACGTACAATATTTTCTTTTACCTGACATGTTCATCTGCATACAGTGCTGGTTGCGTCCAAGATTATTAGGCTCTCCTCGACACCAGAATGTGAAGCTCACAGGAAATTCATCGCTCCACCACCAGGTTCCCTCCTAGAATAGTGTTCAGCAGATTACACATTTCAGTCAGTGTTACACAAAATACTGACATAAAGTGTACTGGCAGAAATACCTGCTGTGTATCAGAGCCTCCCAGCCATGCTGGATCAGCTCTACCAGTTTTGTCACGTATCAGTCTCTGAACCTCGCTGTAGTAGTACATGCTATAAATTGATGCAAGGTTTCCTCCCATGGACCGACAGTTTTTCTACAGAAAAACGGACAGAAGTGTTTAATGACAATAGTGATTTTTTTAGTTATTTTAGATAAATCTTTTTGGGAAATCACCTCAGCATCAGCCCAAGTCATGCGTGTGCTAACATAGCGAAAGCAGTGAGGGGTGATTTTCCTCCAACCATGCGGACAGGGCTCCCAAAAATGTGACAAAAGTGGACCTGATGACAAACAAAATTCCAGTCAAAAGCTTTATCTCAGTTTTCTGGCTGGTCAACAATTAAAAAGTTTGACCTTCTGATTTGAGCTAAAACAGCTTTTTTTGTGTTAGGAACATTATCTAAATACATTTTCTTTGATTTGAATGGTTATGTTTTCATATTATTCTGTGTGTTGTTTTCTTGACTCCTTTCCTTTATGGTATACTCTTAACTGCTTATCTAAGTGCTTTTCCTTAAGGGTTAGAGATGTTTTACACATTCCTGTATTAGGAGCTGCTTTGATCTTTATCTGTATCCTGAGAGTGGTCATCATTGTGTCCTAACAATGGGATATCAACGGAAGACTTCCAGAACATCCTGTGGGATAGTGTATTGGTCAATTGTTTGCATGAATGTGTGAAAAAGTTTACTTCTTTGTCTATTGACATAATAAAAGGCAGTTGGGGACTGAGAGCCTGCGGAGTTGATCCCAGACAGAGTTTGGCAGCGGTTCTCCGGGTCGGGCTCTGCTCCCCTCTTCTGCAGAAAAGTAATTTGTGTCTTTGGTTGATTCTTGCAGGTTGGGGAACAACATAAACCCAACATTTTGTCTAAAAACAGATGGGTTTTTTTTTTTTTTTTTTTGTTTTTTGGGCGACCATTGTTTAATGATAATGAGCAACCATGACCTGCTGGATGGGTATTTCAGTCAAATCTCTGTCATGGCAGATCAGAGGAGGACAGTGGTTGATCTATTGACCTCTGCTGATTTATCAGCACCTCTAGTGTTTGTGGCATTCGTCTTAATGATGCAACATTACACTTATTATAAAGAAGCTAACTCCCTCAATGACAGGAAAACCAGTGACTCTTGTGCAGATCAGAACCAGGATGTGTGTACAGTGTACAATGAACAGTGAAGACATTCAAATCATAAATATATGAAATATACTGAAGAAAAAGTATTGTTTTATTAAAGTGTACTACAAGAACATTTACTAAGGGTCAGAATTGTGATTCCAAGCAGTCACATTGAGGAAATCAGAAAACAATGACAAAAAAAACCAGATAATGTTTATCAGTAGAGCTACAATCTGGAGCAGCTGTAGATAATCTAAACTAGAGTTGGTTTGTGCTGTGTTTTAGTAACTTAAGCAGGGCTTGATAAGGAATAAATACTCACTGCAATAATGGTTCTCGGAACCACTCTGACCATCAGTCACCATGATGGTCAGAGCCATCATGGAGAAAACCATCAGGAACACAGCCGACAACTTCATGATGGAGATGAAGTGATGGGGCAAGCTGAAGGCAAACTGAAATAAAGCATACGTGTTAATAAAATTCAAACATGTTGGTAAAAAAGATGAGCAGAAATTTGTTCAGCGAACCTGATGAAGAGTGATCCGTGTTCTTAGCCAGCAAAGAGGACGGATGATTCTTCTACAAGGCTACAATGTAGCCTTCACTGCAGAATCACTAGATATTTATAGAGCTTCTAATCTTGATACAACATGAGAAAATGATACTGACAAACATTGCACAGAATTGCATAACCAGGTCGTTCATACTTTCATTAGTTCCAGTGCAATAAAATGTCACTTGAAATGAAATTTTGGTGATTCAATGAGAGCAGCTCCAGAACAAAGTAAAGACTAAAATACATCAGCAGGTGATATAAAGCAACTTTTCTCTGTTTTTATGAGCAAAGGACCATCAGGTTTGACTAGAACTTGTTATAATGTGATATTTATATTGTAATAACTAGCATATGATAGTGTTAGAAATAATTCAGGAAAAGGAGCACAACAAAGACACATAATTAACCATCTTGTTTTGATTCTTCAGTTTTATTTTTGCTCAGCCAAAGAATAGAAGAAAGTTTTGCATAGAAGATTCTTTCTTATAACTTATTCAGTCTGACTTTATTACAGAGAGACAATCCAGCTGCTGTTTGCTTGTCGTTTCATTGCTTAGGTTGCATTAAAGAGAGAAATTATAGAAAGTAGAGAAGCAGAAATATCTTTTGGGTTTTCTATGAAGATGCAAAAAGGCAGGAAAACAGAAACAGCAGCTCTGATTCTCCACTGGTTCTGTTCAACACATCAGGCCTTTTTAGTAACTTCACAGTTTTCAGAGTTTCTTGAAGCAGACAGAAGGCAGCTTGCGATTACACTCCACGTCATCCCAGCATTTTTCAACTAAAAGCAAGAGAACAAATTATCCGCGTCGGGCTCTGCTTCCCTCTTCTGCAGAAAAGTAATTTGTGTCTTTGGTTGATTCTTGGAGGTTGGGGAACAACATAAACCCAACATTTTGCCTAAAAACAGATGGGGTTTTTAGTTTTTGTATTTTTGCTAAATATAGTTAGAAAGTCACAGAATTGGCAACAGTTGGCGACCATTGTTTAATGAAAATGAGCAACCATGACCTGCTGGACACGTATTTCAGTCAAATCTCTGTCATGTTTCTGTTTCCCTTTCAACTCAGTCAATTGTTTCTGTTTTGTCATGTCTTGGACTTTTGATAATCTAGGTGAGATGCTTATTGTAACATTCTTCTTGCATTGAATTCTTTTGGATAAAACTCTGGAAATATCTGAAGTCAGCTGTCGTATGATTGCACTTTCTCACTGCACATATACAGACACAAGAATTCGGGATCAGAGGAATGAATTAACGAGCTAAATCAAGTTATTCCTCTTTTTAATTCTTAACAACTTCCAAAACCTCAGCATGAGGCAGATTATGAATCTTGGAGGTCTCAAATAGCACTTTTAAATGCAGATCCAAGTCTTGCACCTTTACATGTTACAAGGCGCATTTTGGAAGGTTTACTCCCCCCAGCTGCTGATCTATTGAGGGGTTTGGGGCCTGATACCCTCCCTGAAACATTTTTGCAGGTACTTGATTCTGCATATGCCACTGTTGAGGACGGAGAAGAGTTGTTTGCAAAATTTTTAAACACGCTTCAGGACCATGGGAAATGACCATCTTCCTACTTGCAGAGACTCCAGTTGGCTCTCGGCACAGTGGTGAAACGTACACCTTGGCCCTGGTTGTTCCAGACCTGCGATCGGCGCAACCTCCCATTCTGATTGGTACCAACATTTTGGATGTTGTGTATAATCAGTGCTGCCAGTCACAGTCTGAGTTCCATCCTGTGCCTTTTGGATACAGACCAGTGCATAAAATTTTGGAGTTAAGGCACAAGCTAATAACTGATGACTATCATGGCATTTTAAAAATGCAGTCGTCCACACCACAGGTAGTTCCTGCTCAAAAGACTGCTGTGTTGGACGCTCTTTTCATATGCCCATTACTGCAAGGTGAAAGGGAAGTAATTATTCAGCATCCAACCTCTTTTTCTTTACCTGGTGGTTTGATAGTAAAATCTAGTCTTGTTGATCTACCTCCTGTACAGCCTGCTTCTTTACCAGAGGTGATTACTAATGAATCTGACCATGACATTGTGATTCCAGCAAGAGAAGCCATCGCTGAAGTCAGTACCATCCAGACCATTCTTCACAAAAAGCAGAGTGTACATCAACCTTCTCATAGTGCAGAGCCAAATCCAGTTAAGTTGAATTACAACTTTGGAGACTCCTTGCTTTCAACAGAGTGGAAGCAATGTATAACAACCATGCTCGACAGCATGCCAGATGTTTTTTCAAAGCATGATCTTGACTTTGGTTGTACAGATAAGGTCAAGCATGAAATCAAGCTCTCAGATCTTACTGCGTTTAAACAGCGACCAAGACCCATCCACCCCTTAGATGTGGACGCGGTACGTAAACACCTTCAAGAACTGTTGCAGTCTGGTGTTATACGTGAATCCAACTCACCTTTTGCTTCCCCCATAGTTGTGGTGAGGAAGAAAAATGGTGCAGTGTGGCTCTGTATCGATTACAGGAAGTTGAATGCACAAACTATCAAAGATGCATATGCTTTGCCAAAGCTAGAGGACACATTTTCAGCCCTGACTGGTTCAACATGGTTCTCCACATTGGATTTAAAGTCTGGTTACTACCAGATTGAAATGAATGAAGCAGACAAAAATAAAACTGCATTTGTCTGTCCACTTGGATTTTATGAATTTAACCGCATGCCTCAAGGTGTAACAAATGCTCCTAGCACCTTCCAACGCCTCATGGAGCGGTGCATGGGAGACATAAATTTAAATGAAGTGCTTGTTTTTATTGATGACTTAATAGTGTTTGCACCAACTTTAGAGGAGCATGAACTCCGGCTGAAGAAAGTTCTTCAACGCCTGAAAGAATTTGGACTAAAACTGTCAGTTGAAAAGTGTGTTTTCTTTCAGACGTCTGTTCGTTACCTTGGACATGTAGTTTCAAGTGATGGAGTGGAGACGGATCCAGACAAAATTTCCACATTAACATCTTGGCCGGTTCCACAGAACCTAAAAGAGCTCAGAACATTCCTTGGATTTGCAGGATACTACCGCCGGTTTGTGGAAGGATACTCATCAGTGGTTAAACCTCTTAATGAGTTAACAGCTGGATATCCACCCTGTCAGAAGAAAGCAAAACGTATGAAGTCGCAACATTACCTTGACCCCAAAGAACCCTTTGCTTCTCGTTGGACAACAGCTTGTCAGCAAGCTTTTGAAGAAGTATTCCGGAAGCTTAGTACAGCACCCGTCCTTGCATTTGCAGATCCAGGTAAACCCTACATCTTACACACAGATGCTAGCTCTACTGGCCTTGGTGCAGTCTCATACCAAGAACATGATGGGCAGAACAGGGTGATTGCATATGCTAGCAGAGGTCTGTCCTGCAGTGAAAGTCGTTATTCTGCTCATAAACTGGAGTTTTTGGCCCTCAAATGGGCAGTTACAGAAAAATTCTATGACTACCTGTATGGATCTGATTTCACTGTAGTTACAGATAGCAACCCATTGACATATCTGTTAACTTCTGCTAACTTGGATGCTACAAGTTACAGATGGCTTTCAGCTCTTTCAACTTTTACATTTAAGATCATGTATTGGGCTGGCAGGTTAAATGCGAATGCTGATGGGCTTTCTAGGCAACCTCATGCTGAGCAGGTGACTGATCCTTTGTCTCTGAAGGAGAAAGAGAGAATATTGAGGTTTACTGAACAACACCTGGAACATCCATCCTGTATTTCTATTGACCAACACTCAGTCCAAGCAATATGTGATAGGCAACTGGTGTACAGCTCACCCAACCTGGACCAGGTTGCTGCTCTTGTGCAAACTCTCTCAATTAACACTGACAGCTTACCAGACAGTTTTGTTGATGATGTACAGTTCTCTTCACCTGTTGTACCATCTTTCTCTGAAGGTGAGATTGCTGCCAAACAAAGAGCCGATCCAGTCCTTCAGCACGTCATCGCTCAGTTGGAACGAGGGGAAACCCCGCCGCCAAATCTGCGGGAACAGCTCCCTGATCTGCCATTACTCCTGCGAGAGCTTACACGGTTGGAGCTCCATAATAATGTTCTTGTCAGGAGAAGGAATATTGGAGGTGAGCTTAGTTACCAACTTGTACTTCCAGAGGAATGGCGGCCTGAGGTTCTCAACCAGCTTCATGACCAGATGGGCCATTTGGGTACCGAAAGAACGCTGGACCTTGTTAGATCACCATTCTTTTGGCCACGAATGGCAGTTGTTGTTTGTAACAAACTTAAGAACTGTGAGAGATGCATCCGGAGAAAAGCACAACCTGAGAAAGCGGCACCACTTGTCAATATTAAAACCTCCAGACCACTCGAACTTGTCTGTATGGACTTTCTCTCAATAGAACCAGACCGGAGTAACACTAAGAATGTTCTAGTGATAACTGATCATTTTACGAAATATGCTATTGCAGTGCCAACCCCAAATCAAAAAGATAAAACTGTAGCAAAAGCATTATGGGAAAATTTTCTTGTCCATTATGGAATGCCAGAGCGTCTCCATAGTGACCAAAAGGGACTGATTTTGAATCTCATACTATCAGAGAGCTGTGTCAAATCACAGGAATTCATCTCCACCGTGACCTGCTGTTGCCTTGTGGCTATTTGTCCCCAGCCTCCAAGCCAGAACAGGTAAAGCCAACAACTGCAATTACACCTGTGACTTCAGAAAATGTTGATCTTTCACACCCTGAAAATGAAGAACTGTTTTTACCTGATTTACCTGATTACTCCAGCCCCTATCTCACTAGATTTACAACTGAGGTTGACTTACCTGCTCCTGCATCTACTATCATTCCTGCCCCTGTGGATTCGCCTGGCCAGCATCCCCAGAGCTCTTTGAAAGAAAAAGTCTGTGAGGAACAGGAAGTGGAGTTTGGACCTGAACCTGTTGCTGAACTGAATATGGAACAAACAGCTGAAGACGAAGCAGATTCTGCTAATTTGGAGCCTCCGGAGGAAAATGCCTCCTCTCATTCAGGACCTGTCTCCCCTCACCCAGAATCTGTATCTTCTCCTGGAAAATCCAGTGTGTTAAATGATTCTTCGGCTACAGAACTCTTCAGCCTAGATCCTGAACTACCTGTCAGATGTTCTACGCGAACACGTCAGCCATCAACTCGTCGGCAGTATTCAAAACTTGGGCATCCATTTCTCCAGAGCATTCAAGCTCTGTTTCAAATCAAATCAAATTTTATTTGTATAGCACATTTCAGCAAGGCATTTCAAAGTGCTTTAAATCATAAACACAAGAACACAAAGTCATGCAACATATAATAGACAATACATTGTTACATATTACATTTCAAATACAATTCTAAACAGTGTTTTTAGTTGCGATTTAAGGAAGTCAGGGTTTCCGCTCTTTTACAGTTTTCTGGAAGTTTGTTCCAAAGTTTTGGTGCATAGATGCTGAAAGCTGCTTCTCCTCTCTTGGTTCTGGTTCTGGGGATGCAGAGCAGACCAGAACCAGAAGACCTGAGAGGTCTACAACAACAGCAGATCTTTGATGTATTCTGGTTCTAAACCGTTCAGTAATTTATAAGCTAACAACAGTATTTTAAAATCTATTCTTTGAGCTACAGGGAGCCAGTGGAGGGACTTTAAAACTGGTGTTATGCGGTCTATCTTCCTGGTTCTAGTGAGAACGCGAGCAGCAGCATTCTGGATCAGTTGCAGCTGTTTGATTGATTTGTTGGACAGGCCTGTGAAGATGCTGTTACAATAATCAATGTGACTAAAGATAAACGCATGAATGAGTTTCTCTAGATCTGGCTGAGACATTAGTCCTCTAATCCTGGAGATGTTCTTCAGGTGATAGAAGGCCGATTTTGTTACTGTCTTTATGTGGCTCTGGAGGTTCAAGTCCGAGTCCATCACTACTCCTAGGTTTCGGGCCTGATCGCTAGTTTTTAGTTGTAATAACTGAAGCTGTGCATTGACTCTAGATCGTTCCTCTTTAGGTCCAAAAATAATGACTTCAGTTTTGTTTTTGTTTTTTGGAACATCCACACATTTATCTGCTCTAAACATTTATTCAGTGATTGGATGGGGTCAGAGTCACCTGGTGACATCGTAATGTAGAGCTGTGTGTCATAGTTATGGTAGCTAATATTATTTCCTGTTATGACCTGAGCTAGTGGGAGAATATAAATATTAAATAAGAGGGGTCCTAGGATTGAACCTTGGGGTACCCCACATGTGACCTTTGACCTGTTTGATGAGAAGTTTCCAATTGAAACAAAGAAATCCCTGTTCTTTATGTAAGATTCAAACCAGTCGAGCACCGAACCGGAGAGTCCGACCCAACTTTCAAGTCGATTCAGTAATATGTCCTGGTCCACAGTGTCAAGAGCTGCACTGAGGTCCAACAGAGGACTCAGCACAGTTTTTGCATCTGCTCTGGAACTAGATGAGACCTCTACATCATGTGACGGTGTGGTGTGTGACCAGCCGGTTGCATGTGCGAGGCCGCACATGAGTTCAGGGAGGGAACCTGTAACCCGCAATTAATCTAAGACTTTTATTTTTGCGGGCCCACTTCCTGTATTGTCCCAAACTCTCCAGCTTATTTAAAGCCCGCCTCCAGCGCGCATGTTAAAAAACATTCCCAGCTGTTTCACGGTGATTGTGGTCTGCTGTTGGCGTTCTTTGCACAAACGCACCCAAATCTTTGAATACACTGATTTGATTACTGAATTATTGGCACGGATTACGTGGACTGTCACATTGGATTCTGTCCCAGCTGATAGTGGCTATAAGTACGCCCCACACTCTGAGAAGGTCAGGTTTTTATTTTTCCAATGGATCAGATCCTCACCCTGATCTGAAGATGGTGAGCTAAGGACAAAAGGACTATGGACTTCATGATCTTGGATTTTAATTTATTTTGAGTCAATTATCTTGTCTCCCTGTACTGGTGCAATTGTCTGTTCTTTTTTATACAAATCACTTAATATATATACGCCAAAGCTAAAAGGACTATTCTGTTTTTTTTTCTCCATTCACACCCTCAGACTCCTTAAAGGGCCACTCTTCTGACACTGCTTTTGTAGCCGCAGTTAGCCTCTTAGCCCGTAACTGTTACAAAAAAGTATTGTTTTATTACAGTGTATTACAAGAAGATGTGTCACATTTACTAAGGATCAGAAATGTGATTCCAAGCAGTCACATTGAGTAAATCAGAAAACAATGACAAAAAACACCAGATAATGTTTATCAGTAGAGCTACAATCTGGAGCAGCTGTAGATAATCTAAACTAGAGTTGGTTTGTGTTTCTGTGTTTTAGTAACTTAAGCAGGGCTTGATAAGGAAGAAATACTCACTGCAAAAACGGTTCTCGGAACCACTGGTCAGAGCCATCATTGAGAAAACCATCAGGAACACAGCCGACAACTTCATGATGGAGATGAAGTGATGGGGCAAGCTGAAGGCAAACTGAAATAAAGCATACGTGTTAATAAAATTCAAACATGTTGGTAAAAAAGATGAGCAGAAATTTGTTCAGCGAACCTGATGAAGAGTGATCCGTGTTCTTAGCCAGCAAAGTGTCATGTCCAGTGTTTCCCTGAGTCTCGTTGTCTCCTTGTTGTCCTGTCTCCCCGTTTGATTCTCCCCAGGTGTGTCCCATCTCCCTGATTAGCCCGTGTATTTAGTCCCTCATGTTTCCTATCTTCCTCGTCGGGTCCTTGTCCTTGTGACGTCTTCCTTGTCAGCTCCTGATGCCATGCTGTGTGCACGTTCTCCTTCGTCGTTTTCTCGTAGTTCCTCGTAGTTCCTAGTAGTTCCCTCATTGTTCAATTTAGTTATGCCTACCTGCTTCTCCACCTGTATGACCTGTTGCTACCGGGATGAGCATTAGCTACGCTCTACCGTGCTGCCAGGCCGCGGCCTCTGCAACTATTTTATTTTTGGATTATTCATTGTTTATTTTGGACTGTCCCACTTCCGTTTGTTTTTTGGATTATTGTTTATTAAACCATCCTCAACCTCACACCTTAAAAAAACACAGCATTGTGACACAAAGAGGACGGATGATTCTTCTACAAGGCTACAATGTAGCTTTCACTGCAGAATCACTAGATATTTATAGAGCTTCTAATCTTGATACAACATGAGGAAATGATACTGACAAACATTGCACAGAATTGCATAACCAGGTCGTTCATACTTTCATTAGTTCCAGTGCAATAAAATGTCACTTGAAATGAAATTTTTGGTGATTCAATGAGAGCAGCTCCAGAACAAAGTAAAGACTAAAATACAGCACCAGGTGATAAAAAGCAACTTTTCTCTGTTTTTATGAGCAAAGAACCATCAGGTTTGACTAGAACTTGTTATAATGTGATATTTATATTGTAATAACTAGCATATGATAGTGTTAGAAATAATTCAGCAAACAGAGCACAACAAACACACATAATAAACCATCTTGTTTTGATTCTTCAAAGTTTTATTTTTGCTCAGCCAAAGAATAGAAGAAAGTTTTGCATAGAAGATTCTTTCTTAAAACTCATTCAGTCTGACTTTATTACAGAGAGACAATCCAGCTGCTGTTTGCTTGTCGCTTCATTGCTTAGGTTGCATTAAAGAGAGAAATTAAAGAAAGTAGAGAAGCAGAAATATCTTTTGGGTTTTCTATGAAGATGCAAAAAGGCAGAAAAACAGAAACAGCAGCTCTGATTCTCCACTGGTTCTGTTTTACACATCAGGCCTTTTTAGTAACTTCACAGTTTTCAGAGTTTCTTCATGCAGACAAAAGGCAGGTGGGTACCACACCATATGTCATCCCAGCATTTTTCATCTAAAAGCAAGAGGACAAATTATCAGTCAAGCATCACGTACTGAAAACCCTGAGATGATCGATGCAGGATTATGAAAATGATTGGAAAGGATGATGAAAGGAATCATCTTGCCACAAAAAATGAATATAAACTCCTGCTGTGGAAAACATACAGAATTTTTTATCTTGTCTGAAGTTAAATAAGGTCAAACTTCTCTTTTTTAGGTCAGTTAAAGTTACTAGAATAATTTATTTTCAGTAAATGACAGAAAACTAAACCATTTGAGAAACCAGTTCTGTAATTTTTTTCAAATTCAGAAGTTTACTTATCCCCAAAACTGAGCAAAATGTATGAAAACATCAGATTTAACTTAAGATGAGCGTTTAGAAAAATGTTTACATTTACAGTAAATAAGCTTTTCACCCACAAGTTCATTCATCAAGTGAAAAATCAGACGTACGATATTTTCTTTTACCTGAAAAGTTCATCTGCATACAGTGCTGGTCATGAAAAAAACCATTATTAGGCTCTCCTCGACACCAGTTTGTGAAGCTCACAGAAAATTCATCACTCCACCACCAGAATCCCTCCTAGAATAGTGTTCAGCAGATTACACATTTCAGTCAGTGTTACACAAAAAACTAACATAAAGTATACTGGCAGAAATACCCGGTGTTCGTCAGAGCCTCCCAGCCATGCTGGATCAGCTCTACCAGTTTTGTCACGTATCAGTCTCTGAACCTCGCCATAGTAGTACATGTCATGAATTGACGCAAGGTTTGCTCCCATGGACCGACAGTTTTTCTACAGAAAAACAGACAGGAGTGTTTAATGAGAATAGTGAAACAGTAAATAGTTATTTTAGAGAAATCTTTTTGGGAAATCACCTCAGCATCATACCAAGACATGCTTGTGCCAACATAGCGAAAGCAGTGAGGGGTGATTTTCCTCCAACCATGCGGACAGGGCTCCCATATATGTGACAAAAGTGGACCTGATGACAAACAAAATTCCAGTCAAAAGCTTTATCTCAGTTTTCTGGCTGATCAACAATTAAAAAGTTTGACCTTCTGATTTGAGCTAAAACCGCTTTTTTTGTGTTAGGAACATTATCTAAGTACATTTTCTTTTATTTGAATGGTTATGTTTTCATACTATTATTCTGTGTGTTGTTTTCTTGACTCCTTTCCTTTATGGTATACTCTTATCTGCTTATCCAAGTGCTTTTCCTTAAGGGTTAGAGATGTTTTACACATTCCTGTATTAGGAGCTGCTTTGATCTTTATCTGTATCCTGAGAGTGGTCATCCTTGTGTCCTAACAATGGGATATCAACGGAAGACTTCCAGAACATCCTGTCGGATAGTGTATTGGTCAATTGTTTGCATGAATGTGTGAAAAAGTCTACTTCTTTGTCTATTGACAATAAAAGCAGTTGGGGACTGAGAGCCTGCGGAGTTGATCCCAGACAGAGTTTTGCAGCGGTTCTCCGGGTCGGGCTCTGCTCCCATCTTCTGCAGAAGAGTAATTTGTGTCTTTGGTTGATTCTTGCAGGTTGGGGAACAACATAAACCCAACATTTTGCCTAAAAACATATGTTTTTTTTGTTTGTTTTTTTGGGTTTTTTTTTTTGCTAAATATAGTTAGAAAGTCACAGAATTGGCAACAGATGGGTGACCATTGTTTAATGAAAATGAGCAACCATGACCTGCTGGACGGGTATTTCAGTCAAATCTCTGTCATGGCAGATCAGAGGAGGACAGTGGTTGATCTATTGACCTCTGCTGATTTATCAGCACCTCTAGTGTTTGTGTCATTCGTCTTAATGATGCAACATTACAATTATTATAAAGAAGCTAACTCCCTCAATGACAGGAAAACCAGTGACTCTTGTGCAGATCAGAACCAGGATGTGTGTACAGTGTACAATGAACAGTGAAGACATTCAAATCATAAAATATATGAAATATACTGAAGAAAAAGTATTGTTTTATAAAGTGTATTACAAGAAGATGTGTCACATTTACTAAGGATCAGAATTGTGATTCCAAGCAGTCACATTGAGGAAATCAGAAAACAATGACAAAAAAAACCAGATAATGTTTATCAGTAGAGCTACAATCTGGAGCAGCTGTAGATAATCTAAACTAGAGTTGGTTTGTGTTTCTGTGTTTTAGTAACTTAAGCAGGGCTTGATAAGGAAGAAATACTCACTGCAAAAACGGTTCTCGGAACCACTCTGACCATCAGTCACCATGATGGTCAGAGCCATCATGGAGAAAACCATCAGGAACACAGCCGACAACTTCATGATGGAGATGAAGTGATGGGGCAAGCTGAAGGCAAACTGAAATAAAGCATACGTGTTAATAAAATTCAATGTTGGTAAAAAATGAACAGAAATTTGTTCAGCGAACCTGATGAAGAGTGATCCGTGTTCTTAGCCAGCAAAGAGGACGGATGATTCTTCTACAAGGCTACAATGTAGCCTTCACTGCAGAATCACTAGATATTCATAGAGCTTCTAATCTTGATACAACATGAGAAAATGATACTGACAAACATTGCACAGAATTGCATAACCAGGTCGTTCATACTTTCATTAGTTCCAGTGCAATAAAATGTCACTTGAAATGAAATTTTTGGTGATTCATTGAGAGCAGCTCCAGAACAAAGTAAAGACTAAAATACATCAGCAGGTGATATAAAGCAACTTTTCTCTGTTTTTGTGATATTTATATTGTAACTCAGGACACAGAACTCAGAATTAAACACAGAAAAACACAGAACCTGACAGTACCCCCCCCCCCCTTAAAGGGCGGCTACCAGACGCCCAAAAACAAAATCCAAAACCCAAAAACCAGGGTGGGCGGAGGGGCGATGGAATGAGGGCCAGAGTCCAGAAAACAAAAAACTACCCCAAAAGGTGGGCAGAAACAAAAGGAGGGGCCAAGAGTCCATAACTAAACAGAAAGTGGGCAGGCATCGAGGAAGGTCCGGAGGGCGTCCTCGGCGCCAAGGGACACTAGGGGGCTCTGGAGGGACGCTAGGGGGCTCTGGAGGGACGCTAGGGGGCTCTGGAGGGACGCTAGGGGGCTCTGGAGGGACGCTAGGGGGCTCTGGAGGGACGCTAGGGGGCTCTGGAGGGACGCTAGGGGACACTGGAGGAACGCTAGGGGACACTGGAGGAGCGCTAGGGGACACTGGAGGAGCGCTAGGGGACACTGGAGGAGCGCTAGGGGACACTGGAGGAGCGCTAGGGGACACTGGAGGAACACTAGGGGACACTGGAGGAGCGCTAGGGGACACTGGAGGAGCGCTAGGGGGCACAGGAGGAGCGCTAGAAGGCACGGGAGGAACACTAGGGACAGAGGCTGCACGGAGCAGCGGCACGAGGAGCAGAGTCCACGGAGGCCGGAGCGGAATCCGGCGTAGCAGGAGCCGGAGCGGAATCCGGCGTAGCAGGAAACGGAGCGGAATCCGGCGTAGCAGGAGCCGAAGTCGGAGCCGAAGTCGGAGCGGAGTCCGGCGGCGCAGGAGCCGAAGTCGGAGCGGAGTCCGGCGGAGCAGGAGCCGAAGCCGGAGCGGAGTCCGGCGGAGCAGGAGCCGAAGCCGGAGCGGAGTCCGGCGGCGCAGGAACAGCAGCCGTAGCGGAGTCCGGCGGCGCAGGAACAGCAGCCGGAGCGGAGTCCGGCGGCGCAGGAACAGCAGCCGGAGCGGAGTCCGGCGGCGCAGGGAACAGCAGCCGGAGCGGAGTCCGGCGGCGCAGGAACAGCAGCCGGAGCGGAGTCCGGCGGCGCAGGAACAGCAGCCGGAGCGGAGTCCGGCGCGCAGGAACAGCAGCCGGAGCGGAGTCCGGCGGCGCAGGAACAGCAGCCGGAGCGGAATCCGGCGGCGCAGGAACAGCAGCCGGAGCGGAATCCGGCGGAGCAGGAGCCGAAGCCGGAGCGGAATCCGGCGGCGCAAGAACAACAGCCGGAGCGCAGTCCGGCGGCGCAGGGACAACAGCCGGCGGAGCGGCACGAGGAACCGAGGCTGGAGCTGGGGCTGGGCTGGCGGAGCGGATGTCCGGCTTGGAAGACCGAGGTTTTGCAGTCATGGCAGAGAAGGCTGTCCGGCGCACCTCCTCTGCCTCCCGCTGCAACTCCACCAGGACTGGATGCTGAAGACGTGGAACCCAGTAGTCCAACAAAAGCCCCAGGCGTATGGCGAACCAGGCCGTCTCAGGGCCAAAGTGGACGTACTCCTTGACTCCTCATACTCGCATATCGTTCGGAGTAGCTCCTCTAAACCCTCTGGGTCCATGATGTTATTCAGCGAGCCTCACCTTGTCGTTGGTCGGGTCCTTCTGTCATGAAGTGGTGGTGTTTGAGGTGGTGAGGCAGACGCTGGAGACCCAGGTAGGTGAATGGTGAGTAATTTAATTAAAATAATCCACAAAAAACACAGTCAACAGAGTCCACGGCCAGGCAGCACGGCTGAGCGGAAGCCAGGGCTCACACCGGTAGCAACTGGTCTTAAGGGCAGCACAAAACAAACGAGCGACAACAGTTAGACAACGACCATAGGACAATCTGACAAGGACCCGACCAGGAACAAAGGACACAGGAGGGACTAAATACACAGAGGGTAATCAGGAGAACAAGACACACCTGGGAACAATCAAGGGGAAGACAGGACAACGAGGAGAACTCAAGACACAGAAACTCAGAATTAAACACAGAACCTGACAATTACATAGAGACATACCAGCTGCTGTTTGCTTGTCGCTTCATTGCTTAGGTTGCATTAAAGAGAGAAATTATAGAAAGTAGAGAAGCAGAAATATCTTTTGGGTTTTCTATGACGATGCAAAAAGGCAGAAAAACAGAAACAGCAGCTCTGATCCTCCACTGGTTCTGTTTTACACATCCGCGTCGGGCTCTGCTCCCCTCTTCTGCAGAAAAGTAATTTGTGTCTTTGGTTGATTCTTGCAGGTTGGGGAACAACATAAACCCAACATTTTGTCTGAAAACAGTTTATTTGTTTGTTTTTTTTGCTAAATATTGTTAGAAAGTCACAGAATTGGCAACAGATGGGCGACCATTGTTTAATGAAAATGAGCAACCATGACCTGCTGGACGGGTATTTCAGTCAAATCTCTGTCATGGCAGATCAGAGGAGGACACTGGTTGATCTATTGACCTCTGCTGATATATCAGCACCTCTAGAGTTTGTGGCATTCGTCTTAATGATGCAACATTACAGTTATTATAAAGAAGCTAACTCCCTCAATGACAGGAAAACCAGTGACTCTTGTGCATATCAGAACCAGGATGTGTGTACAGTGTACAATGAACAGTGAAGACATTCAAATCATAAATATATGAAATATACTGAAGAAAAATGTAACCCACAATTAACCTAAGATTTATTTTTGCGGGCCCACTTCCTGTATTGTCCCAAAACTCTCCAGCTTATTTAAAGCCCACCTCCAGCGCGAAGTTTAAAAAACATTCCCAGCTGTTTCACGGTGATTGTGGTCTGCTGTTGGCGTTCTTTGCACAAATGCACCAAATCTTTGAATACACTGATTTGATTACTGAATTATTGGCACGGCTTACGTGGACTGTCACATTGGATTCTGTCCCAGCTGAGTGGCTATAAGTACGCCCCACACTCTGAGAAGGTCAGGTTTTTATTTTTTCCAATGGATCAGATCCTCACCCGGATCAGAAGATGGTGAGCTAAGGACAAAAGGACTATGGACTTCATGATCTTGGATTTTAATTTATTTTGAGTCAATTATCTTGTCTCCCTGTACTGGTGCAATTGTCTGTTCTTTTTTATACAAATCACTTAATATATATACGCCAAAGCTAAAAGGACTATTCTGTTTTTTTTTCTCCATTCACACCCTCAGACTCCTTAAAGGGCCACTCTTCTGACACTGCTTTTGTAGCCGCAGTTAGCCTCTTAGCCCGTAACTGTTACATAAATTGGTGAGCTAGCCAGGAGTCTGATATTGTGAATGTTTGGTGAATGTGTTTTGTATTGAAATATGAATTTCTTTGATCAAATTGGTATCAATGTTGCTAAATCTGTCATCATTAGTGGTGTTTCGAACATTGTACATTGAACAATGAGGGAACTACTAGGAACTACGAGGAACTACGAGAAAACGACGGAGGAGAACGTGCACACAGCATGGCATTAGGAGCTGACGAGGAAGACGTCACAAGGACAAGGACCCGACGAGGAAGATAGGAAACATGAGGGACTAAATACACAGGGCTAATCAGGGAGATGGACACACCTGGGGAGAATCAACGGGGAGACAGGACAACAAGGAGACAACGAGACTCAGGGAAACACTGGACATGACATTTTGCTGGCTAAGAACACGGATCACTCTTCATCAGGTTCACTGAACAAATTTCTGCTCATCTTTTTTACCAACATGTTGAATTTTATTAACACGTATGCTTTATTTCAGTTTGCCTTCAGCTTGCCCCATCACTTCATCTCCATC